AATCATTTGTGACTCTAATGAGAGCTGTTTCAGTACTATGGTACGGTCTAAATCCTGAAAATAATCAAATAAATAATGAGTTGACAACAACTCTGTCACCCAATGATTCTATCTCTTCTACAAACCACGTTTGGTCACGAAAAACCACGCAATAAAACGAACCAGAAATGACGCGAAACAGCACGTGCGCCAATAGCCAGAAGAAGAGAAGAACACAACACGCCAATATGGACGTCAGACAGAAACTAGTGCTGCACACATGGGTGACCTCAACCCATGCCTTGCTATGATTGACTGTAGCTCATGACATCACTGAAGTTGAGTCATGCGACAGTTCTGGATATCTAGCATGCTAGATATTTTTCTGGGCTCGGCGACTCATCTGCGAAGCGTCTGCGAGCGTCTTCTTTGCGTTGTTGGCTCTTTCATTCTAACAGATTGACGAGCGTTCATCGCCCGCTAATCCCCGTGATTTGCACGCGATAACACCCTGACCTGTCGGCGAGCTCAATGATTTGCAAATTGGTCCTAAATCAGGCTTAAAATCCTGTAGTGTGAACTTTGTTGTAGTTCCCCACTGCTAAAGCCAAGGAAACAGGAAACTCAAGAGAAACAAACCAAAAGTCAATGAAAATTAAACTAAAGCTAAACTGAACATAATGGTGACAGAACTCACCCTCCAGAAAGGTACGGCCTCGCACCATAACCAATCGACTGAGGGGTAAGAAGGGTGGGGGCGCTGAAGGCAGAAAAAAAAACAGACCTAGACAGGAGGGACCGAGGCATAGCAGTCTCATCCCAAAAAGTCATATAACTGACGTTTTGGGACGTCTTTTGACCATACGTCAATATTCGCCTTTTTAGGGTCCCCTTAAACGTCGGTAGATGAGGTTATGGGATCCTAACTCTATCCCAGACCTAAACCTAACCCTAAACCTAACCCGTCACCTAATTGACGTTAAAGGTAAAGCGTCAGTTGTATGACGGCCCGGGATCACCATCTACCGACGTTTAAGGGTGCCCTAAAAAGGCGGTCAAAAGACGTCCCAAGACGTCAGTTATATGACTTTTTGGGATGAAAATGTGTTGACCGAGGTGGAATAGATGGCGGGACGACCCCTGAAGGAGTTGACGAAGGACACTAAACTGACGGTTGAATGAACCATGGAGGAGGCAATGGCATGATGATGCAGATGGAAGCCCAGAGCACAGTTGGTCCCCACGGTGGATTCGATGGTGGAAGAGCCAGTGTGGAATTCCTGTCCAGACCGGACCCCCAGCGTTGGAGCCGAGAAATCTAGAGACCTGGGAGAAGCTGAGGCGTTGAAAGGACCAGAAGACACTGTAGGATCCATAGACCTAGGTGGAGCCACAGCTACATGCCAATGAGTTGAATCCAGAGGCGACTCGGTGCGACCGAGGACCAAGGAGGATCCGCAGGGAAGGCGGAGCCTTACGGAGCTGAAGCGGTAGAGGGACGAAGCACAGCGAAAGGAAGTCCGTGCCACAGACAGAGCAACATCTAACCAAGGTGGATCCGGAGGGATGATGGAGCCCGGTGGAGCCGTGAGGACGACGATCCCATGTGGAGCCTAGGGGCAAAGGAGCCGACTGGTTGAAGGGCTGAGGCGGAGTTACGGGAATGTTAGTCTGAAGCGAAGCCAGGGGATCCACACTCAAACGCAAAGCTGGTGCCCAGCTTATCCGTGGCAGAGCCAACTTGCCGTGTAGTTCCAACAGTGGAGACGAGTGACTGAATGGCGCCAGTGAAGGACGGGCAGAAGGAGCAACTGAAATGGGCAGAGGAGGCAGGCTGGGTGCATTACTCGCAACAATGAAGTCTTTGAGCTGAACAGGACCAGTGGCGATCAAGGCATTTAACTGGGTAGGACCAGCAGCGATGAAGGCTGTGGGCTGGGCGGAATCAATGGAGGAAGGCTGTCATCGTCCTCAAACTCCTCTCTATTTCACTCCTGCTCAGATGAGGTCGACACACACACCTGGTCAGACTGGACGATGACATTCGGGACAGAAGTGGCTTCAAGCTCAGGGTCTCTCGGGGCTGTTGACATTGGCTCTGGATCTGTGGTGCATGCATTCATCAGCTGCGGGTATGAACACTGCAGACAACGGACGATCACCTCTCTGCAGGTTCCTTATCCCAGGTCTGGTAAGACAAGTGGGATGTAATAGTTCGCCCACATCTGATAAAGAGACTTTATGGTCTCATCATCCAATTTGGATCTTGCAGACAGTTGAGTAAAGTGGGCAGAGTACAAGTCCAAGACAGAGAGATTCTTACTGGCTAAGTCGATGAGTTTTGCTGCATAATCCTTTTCTTTTACTTCATTTATTGGATCAAAAACATACAACACATATAAACCAACAAGAGTTCAGATGCAAAAGCCTCTAAATGCCATTTGAAATTTTCTTCTTTAATGATGATTTTTATCAAACTTGTATATTTAAGTTCAGTAATTTCACTTAAATAACAATTAATAGGTATTGCCATTTAAGTGAAATCACTGAACTTAAATATACAAGCTTGATAAAAATCATCATTCTAGAAGAAAATTTCATATGGCACTTAGAGGCTTTTGCATCTGAACTCAACCATACTAACCCACAGGACAATTTCCACAACGTCTAGCAATAACACTTACACAAATATTAGTAATAATAAACAAAAATTAAAGCTGCAAGCAGCATTTATCGGTGTTCAAGCAGTTCAGGCCTTTAAGCACAAAAGCATCGAAAGGCATTCAATTTTATTTAACATGCATTTATCCACTGACATCCACTTCATGCTTGAACACCTAATAATGAGAGACCTTTTTGGCGATTATAGCGCCACCTATGATCCGATCCTCACGAAACTTTGCATGCTTCCTAACCATGTTAGGACACATATGCTTACCGATTTTTGTGAATTTGTGACTTTTTGGGGGGGATTTAGGGGCTTTTGACTGAATTTTGCCACAGACCACTACTAAATGAGCCTGTTACAGCCAACCAAATGCAAAATTTCAACTTTTTTTCGATAATTATTGATCTAGAGAGTCCAGAGAATAGGCCTAGACTGGTTTGGTCCCGATTGGGCAAAAAACCAGGGACTAGTTCACAAAAGTGGGTTTTGGACAAAAACCGAAATAACAATTTTTTTTTGCTCCAAATGGAAATCCGAAAAAGATATACATCTTGTCCGTCTTGAACCAGGGATTACAGTGGTGTAAAAACATTGAAGCTAAGTCAAACGGTCTAGGAGTTATGAGCAATTTAGTACTTTTGGTTGCTGTAGCGCCACCTATGGGCCAATCGGGGTCATACTCTGATAGCTTCTCCACAATTCGAGGCCCTACCATCTGACAAAGTTTCACAGCTCCAGCCCTTACGGTTTGGGCTGCACGATGCGTTTTAGGGGATTTTTTTTTTCTTTCTAGCAAATACAATAAAATAGAACAAAACCTTAGCTTAGTTTAAACTAGCTTAATTGTTTATCAATCAATTTAACTATCACCAGAAGAATTAATACCATTTAAAGTATTAGACTAAAGTAGTAGATTAAATAGTCTATGAAAGGTTGCCGCATTTCTTTCTTTTTCAAGGAGAATCTGGTTTTCTCTTGCTCAAAAGGCTTCATTACATCCCTCATTTGATATACATGCGTGTGGGCAGCTTTCTGTTTCCAGTTTATTCAAATTAATCTTCACGCTAGTAGACTGCAAAATCCATTTTCTGTTCTGGTCTGGTATTCTGTCCCGGTTTCAGTCCAATGATGATGAAGACGATTTAAAATAGAAGTGTTTTTATTTAAACAAAGTCAGCTCAGATAATCCACAGATGTGAGACAGCGTGCAAGCACAAACACATGAACAATACAGGATAATAAATGTGAACTAAAGAGGAACTTAAATACACAGAGATAATGAACTGAATACAGACATGAATGTCCACGACAACTGATTAGCGGTGGGAAACTACAACAAAGGAAACAGGTTACAGAAGAGAAACAAACTAAAAGTCCATAAAAATGAAGTTAAAGCTAAACTGAACATAATGTTGACAATTTCATTTGTAATAGTATTTATTCATCTTTATTAGCATAAAAGGAGGAGCGATGACAGTGAAGGACGAAAGAGGACCAGGCCTGGATTTTACGCTGTGTTTATGTGTGTGCGGCAGTTGTCCATGAGGGGCTGCCGCTTTACTTTCGCTTTGTGTTTATTTATTTATTGAATACAGTTGAATGTTAGGCAGTTCCCGCCTCCTTCCCTTATCAACTAACTTTGTGACAAGAACAAAATGACTAAACTTTAAGATTTAAATTTCAGCCTATTACCCACACAATGCATTTGATCAATTCAAGTCTATAGTGCAAAAGTCATTTAGATAGTGTTATAATTCTTTAATGGCGTTTTTAATGGAGAAAATGTCAGGATTTTCATTTTTTGGATGATCTATTTCTGTAATGCCACAACTGTATGTCTGTCACAGTGCATCTTCCCAGTATTTCTCAGACTATAGAGAAGGTCACAAGCTTTTGATTTTGAAATAAATGCCTTGAGTTTCTCAGTGTTATTCTGATGAACAGTGTTCTCTGATCACCATGGCAACACATGCTACAGTAAGTGCTATTTCACAGTGAATGAAGAGCCAATGAATAGGCTTCCATTGAAGTCTGCAGGACTAGAATCACATGACTCATGATCAAAACCCTTGTTAACATGTCTAGATGAAATGAATGCATGTCCAAACATGCCCATACAAGCTCTGTTGAGCAATACCACCTCGGATGACCAAAACTATGCCAATATTTACTGTATTTAACAGTTGTTTTACACATTAATCACTCAAATAATATTAACAAACATAACATCTATTTACTGGATCCTCAGAGCATCAACAGCAGCCAAAAGTCCAATACGTCCTGCATCCCAACCATGTGCCAGGATTAAAAAGGCTCCACATTATCAAGTTCAGATCATGTCTAACTCTCTCACCTGGCCAGATCTCCTCATTCAAACCCATTCAGCTCCCCCAGGTCAGGTTCCCATCCTCAGTGTATGACTGCCAAGAGTCCTATTTTACACTGACTTCTTTCTGTTAGGCACTGCTACAATCCTCTTACTCACATGAGCAGTGGGAAGTAAGTGGAAAATGATCATGTTTCTTGGCATTAACACGTGTGTGTTGATTGGCTGAGGGCTGATGTCCATCACCGTGACAACACGCCGCTGGCAATGGCAGCAGCCGGAGAGGAATATACACAGGGACGGAAATAGATTTCTGCTCACTCCGGAGCACCACAATCCCAGCACAGAGGCAGGGAGGGAATCTGAGACGGAAGATGAATGCAGACATAAGAAAGCAAGGACATTAGCTTAGAGTACCACACCTGCAGCGTGCCACTGCTCAATGCTCACCGTACTGTTTTGGTGAACATTAGTGTGGATTGCTTTACACAATTTACTTAACTACCGGTTTCACAGACTAGTCGCAGACTAAAATGCATGTTTGAGCTGAAAGCAACTTGTAGTGACATCTTAAAATATGTCAGTGTCATTGTTTTCTCTCAAGATACTGTACACACCAGTAATGTTTTCTTCTAAAGCTAATTTATTTATTTGTTTATTTATTTTTTTATTGTTTGCCCACAATAGAAAATAATTTACATTTACAGAATCACAACAAAGTTCTATTTGTATTACAAGGTGTACACAACATAAAAGACAGTAATAATTGAAAAAAAATTAAAATAACTACCACACATAAACAAGGTCACATTGACTTAGCATCCTTTAGATTGGAAGAAAAGGGAGTTCCTTTATATAATCCCAAAGGGAGGACCATATGGACCAAAATCTGTCAGATTTTTTATGTTTATCGTAAGTGAGCTTTTCAAGTGGTAACCATGCATGCAGCGATTTGTAAGCAAAGTAAGCACCAGTGGTTAAGAAAAATTAAGTTGAATTGAGTTGAGTTGAGTTTTTTTCGTATCCATGGCAGATATTTCTCTTGTTTTAAGTGCAAACTCGCTATGTTGAGTTGTAGTTTTTTTCCAGAAAACAAGACTTGATAATTTAGTAATTTTCAAGTCAAGTAACAAGTTTACTGACAAGTTTACATTTAAAAAAAAAAAATACTTTCTCAAGTAAATGTCTCTTCATTTAAAAATGTTTAGATATCTGTACTCTAAAACAAGGTCAAAAAACACTGAAAGGATTTTTTTATTGGATTCTGTTAAAAGATTATGAAAAGCAATGTTTTAAAAAAACACATTCGCATTTCAATTTTGTGTTGACATTAGAATGTTTTCAGATGAACGTTTCAGAATTTTTTGTTTTAATTTTAGACCAGATTAGGGTTTTTTTATTGGAATTGAATAATTAAAGAAATAATGTAGTAACAAAAAACTATTTAGCTGAACTATTCGTTTAAAAAACAATGCATAATGCTTCCCCTACAATTTGGTAACCAACCAGAATGACTTTCCCTTAAGTCTAATAATGTCATTGCTTCTATGTCATATATCACATGTAGTGCACAAATAGGAAGCAGGACGAAATCCCCTCACAGACCCCCTCATGCTGTCGTACTACACGTAATGGAAGATTGGCTCTGGAACCCCAAAGGTCCTTCCTACTTTGCCTCCCAGCGACAGGCTTTACCCGCTCAGACCAGACACCAGCACAAACACCACCCGGACACCTGCCAAAACAGAGACAGTGGCATGTGGAAACCATGAGGAAATGCGGAAAACAGACCAAAAAGGGAGTTTCACATACACGAGGAACATTCTGTTGCTAAATCTAAATTCCCCCCCTGCCGAGTGAGATGTTCACAAACAGTGCAGGACTATTCTTGGCACAGCTGCCCTGAATAACTCCGATAGGGAGTTTCTGATATGGGAGCAGTGGCCACGTGTGTCTGAATGCAGCATGTGATGCTCTCCGATTCCAAAGACGGCCATAAGCAGAGCATTATGGGTAGCTCAGGCTGCCACACACTCTATTCAGATGAACATCTCTCCAAATTCAAAAAACCCTAACCCTAACTTCACTAAGGGAGTTAATACACCCAGAAAAAAAGAAAATTCTCTTCATTTACTCACCTCATGTTGTTCCAAACCCATAAGACTTTCGTTCATCTGCGGAACAGAAATGAAGATCTTTTTGAGGAAATCGCAACTACCACTTTGATGCTCCAAAAAGTTCAAAAGAGACGCTTCAAAAGATAAAACTAATCCATATGAATCAAGCGGATTAGTCTTAACTTTCTGAAGAGACTCGATCAGTTTATATGATAAACGGATTTAATTTAGGCTTATATAAAGTTGCATATATTGATATTTTCGCTTCAGAAGGCCTTTATTAACAACCTGTAGTCGTATGGACTACTTTTATAATGGATGGATGTGCTTTTTTTGGGCTTCAAAATATAAGCTACTATTCACTGCCATTATAATGATTGGAAGAGCCAGAATATTTTTTAAATATAACTTGAGGGTGAGTAAATTATGGGATAATTTCATGTTTGGGTGAGCTATCCCTTCAAATATTGGGGCATTAAGTTATTCCTAAATAAAACTATTAAAATTCTTGTATATACTGAATTAAAGCTGAGATCAACATTGATTATAAATAATAGAGGAAAAACTTAAAGCTGCTGTTGGTAAATTTTGTAAATAAAATATTTTACATATTTGTTAAAACTGTCATTATATTCTGACAGTAGAATATGGCTGCAACGCATTCTCACCCCAAGGCGTCACCTTTGACCATGCTTCAATATTTGACGTTTTAGGCGCCCTTTAGCGTCACTTACATGACGCGATCCTACGGCGTCATCCAACTGACGCTAAAGGAAAGCGTCAGTTAGAGGACGCGGTTAGGTTTAGGTGTGGGGTGGGGGTAGGGTACACACGATCCTAGGGCGTCATCTAACTGACGCTAAAGGGCGCCTAAAGCGTCAGATATTGAAGCATGTACAAATGCTTCCCAAGGCGTCAGTTAGGTGACGCCTTGGGAGTGAGAATGGGCTGGAATATGAGACAGATAATCTGTGAAAAAATCAAGCTCCTCTGGCTCCTCCCAGTGATCCTATTGCCATTTGCAGAAATTCACCGCTCCCGGTCAGAAACAACCAATCAGAGCCAGGAGGAGTGTCTTAGCAGTGTCAATCACACTCGTGCACGCGCTGATCACACCCCTCTCTTGCACAGCCGTCATTCAAACCAAAGATTGCCATTGTGCCGCAGCTGTGCTAATGGAGCAGAAACAACCTAAACTGCCAATTCCTCGAGTGTCACCTGCTCATAAAACAAAGACAGTAAAAGGGAAAAGACCAATGACAATAAACAAGCGAAAAAGAAAGAATTTGCCAATTGTCTCGGTGTCAAAACTCTAGCCGCGTAACAGTTAGAAAGCAACAGTTAAAGCAACAAGCAACAGTTAAAACCTGCTAAAACCTATGATTTCAACATGGCCGGTTTAGCTCCGCCCACCGAATCCTGCATTACACACATAGCTGAATACCATAGATGCCTACCTCGTGATGACATCTGTTTGCTTAATTTCTTGTAGGATTGTTGTAAACAAGACTAGATTTCCAGACTGATTAAGAGTAAAGAACGGTGCCGTGGGTTTATATTGGATCTGACAGGCAGGAATGGTTCAACACGGTCTCTGGGGCGAATCATTCTGGTTGCCATTTTACAACATTGAACGTTTTCAAAACAATTTCCCCCAAGTGCATCGACGGGTGAGTTGAAACTCATTATAATATGCAAAACTGTTATCCACTCACAGCAGTGGGCGTTTACTTCCAAGTCTTCAGTGCGCGACGCCCATAAAAACCCAGCGTTTTTCAGGCTCAAAACTAGGGTACAAAATAACCTATTACAATATCCATTTTGATGTTTTTGAATGCAAAAACCAAGCGAATGTTATAAGTTGATGTCAGTCAACAAATAATACAATTTAAAAAGCCAGATTATGACCACTTTAATGTTCTCCTTTGTATTTAGTGTGTGTGTGTGTGTGTACCTTCTGCCTTTCTGTACCAGTTTAAGTTATATTGTTTTCAGTAAATGCTTTGCTTTGGAACTTTGTACTCCTTGCATGACACAGTGATGCTAATTAAAGAGTGAATTTGTCGCTTTATTCATTTTAAAAGATAATTAGGGGAAAGCGGGGCACAACCTAATGCGGGGTTAAATGTAACACTGACTTTTTACATAGTTCGTCAGGATCAAGCAGGCTGTCTTTCCGCTCTTTTTCTCTTGCTGCCAGAAGACGGTCTCCCGTGAATTTGCGGAAAGTTTTGATTATATTTCGTGAAGATACTGGACAAAGAGTGTTTTGACACCATGCAAGTAAATTTTTTCATCATAGATTTTTTTTCGGTTTCTGAGTTGGGTGTATACATTTCCAAATCTAACTTTATATTGCCTTAATCTTGTCTTGTAGCACCGTTTTGAAACATGTCAGCAATTCCTAGTGACGGTTAGCTATTGTCACGGATCCATCTGCGTCAGCACCAGATACCTTCACTCCGCCTACTCGTTCCGGTTCCCCTGACTACTAATCATCACCACCTGTCGTCACCACCTGCCATCACTTATCCGGACTATCATCCACTCCATATATACTCACCTCATTCAGTCACTCACTGTCTGGTCTCGTCTCTACCACGATTACAGACTCTCTATCGCTACCTCACGTTCCTGATTCGACTTACCTGCATTGTATCTCCAACCCATCAGTCTCCCGTCTGTTCCTGTTCTTGGTCCCCGTCTGCTGCCAGTCCTCTTCAGTCTCCAGCTCCGCTGTTCCGGTCAGCTCTCCATTCTCCCGCTCCTGTTCAGATAAGGAAAACATCATCAGACTGTTCATAACCCTCTCCAACTTCAACTAGCACTCTACTTACCATCCTGTGACTGTCATTCAATATACCTTGTTCATACTCACCCGTCTGTGCCATTCTGTTCTGTGACAGCTATAGGTTTAAAATATGTAATACACCGCGGGGTTAGTTGTAACACTGTGTTACAACTAAGCCGCCAACTTAGTGCACAATGATAATCAAATGAAAACGGAGCCACACAACTTTTCAGGTTTGAGTATACATTTAACTTTGTTGGACTTTCACAAACAATGTTGAAATTTAAAATTTAGTGTACTATGAATGATAACTGTTTTTAATATAATAAACCCTTTAAATTTTTATTTTAAGCTCATTTGTATTATTGTTACTGTTATTATTATTAATAATAATAATTGTACATGCAGCTGCCACACACAAATCTAATTTAATTGCAATTACAATATTTTATAATTTTATTTATTATTTATTGCAAAACTGTGCAGCCCTTTTCTGTCTCTATCCATGATATTGATCCACAATAGAAGGATGATTGGATGAGGGATGGATGTATGGATATCTGTCTATACAGATGCACAAACAATATCAAACTATACAAATAAAATAGTTCTGAATTATGTGTGTTGCACTCAAGTGTTACAACTAACCCTCTCTGTCTGTTACAATTAACCCCGAATATGGGGTAAGTTGTAACATTTGCACTTCTGTCACTTTCAGTGCAACTGTACGAAAATGGTAGGTCCTAGAAAAAAACTTTAAGTGTTCATTTGTAGCAGAGATGTGTATGTTGCTTGTGTAAAATAAATATTAATCTAACCTAATTATTTTTTAATTAATTGAGATAAAACCAAAATGCGTTAGGTTGTGCCCCGCTCTCCCCTATGCACACAAAACACCAATAGTTTATCTCATTTGGTTATCAAAAAACATCTGGCTTCACATTAAGACCTTTTCATTTTTTTATTTACTGTAGTTAATTCATAGATCCCTTTTTCTTACAAAACGATTAGCCCTATATATAAAGTCACCATTCAGACTTCATCTGACCTGCACAATGACCGTACAACAAGGCCAAATCATATACCAAAGTGAAATTTTGATATTTCTCTCCTCTTATTTGTGAAGACAAACATTCCACATTCTATAAAACCCCACAATCATAAGATTAAACAACAATAGAAAGGAAGTAACAAATAATAGCAAATGAAATAAATGAATAATGAATAATTATCAAATTATGTAAATCAAATTTTATTAATATGATAAATCAAATGATAACAAAAATGAAAATGGTAGCCCTCTTGAAGTAACACACACAGGTTATTAAAAATTCATATGGTCACTATATGGTTGCTAAGGTGTTCAGAGAGATAAGTGTGTCCCTATGTGGTTGTCCACCAATAGTCCACCATCACATCTCCATGATCTTCTGCTTTCTAGGCTTAGGGGTTTTTTCACTCATCTTCCATGCAAAAATGTCTGATCACTTAGCAAAGCAACAGCACTTAATCACTGCATGATTATTATTTAAATGTAAAAGTTGAGGGAAAACATATTAACATTTCACATAAATATTTTTTTATTTAATCCTAATTAAAAACTTTTATAACATTATAATTGTCTTTACTGTCACTTTTGATTAATTCATTTCTTGAAAAAAAAAACTTTGTGTACATGGAAAAAATAAGATCATCTGATCACTTAGCAAAGCAACAGCACCACACCACGTTGAGTCCCTACTAGGATACACTAGTATGAAACAAAAATTATAAAAAAACATCATAAAGATTATTTTTGTATGATTATTATTTAAATGTAAAAGTTGGGAGAAAACAGTGTCTTCAGTCTTTGGCTTCATTAGTCCAAAAAGCAGGAACTAACAGTGCCGCTATCCTCAGGCTACATCGCACCAGTCAGTCGCAGTGTCCAAGCCCAGGAGCAGGGCATCTGACTGGGGTCCACCTGGGGCAGATGGACCTTCAGACCTGTGGGACTCATGGACTGCCATGAGACGGACTTATAGCCAAGCAGCACCACCTGTTTTGGAAAAGGTTTGAAACAAGAATAAGAACAGTTTTTGCTTCAGATGTGAATGCTCTGAAAATTAGCTAGTAAGCCATTGGCTTGTAAGCCATTTCTGAGAAACTCTGTTGAAAGCAGATCGGACAGAGCAGCACAATACACTTGTGGCCAATCAACAGCAGGGGGCGTGTCACTCATAATGAGGGAGGAGAGAGAGTGAGCCAATCAGCAGTAGAAGGCGTGTCTATTCATGATGGGGGAGGAGAGAGTGAGCCAATCAGCAGTAGAAGGCGTGTCTATACATGATGGGGGAGGAGAGAGTGAGCCAATCAACAGTAGAAGGCGTGTCTATTCATGATGGGGGAGGAGAGAGTGAGCCAATCAACAGCAGGGGGCGTGCCACTCATAATGAGGGAGGAGAGAGAGAGTGAGCCAATCAGCAGTAGAAGGCGCGTCTACTCATGATGGGGGAGGAGAGAGTGATCCAATCAACAGTAGAAGGCGTATCTACATGTTGGGGAGGAGAGACAGTGAGCCAATCAGCAGTAAAGGGGTGTGTCACTCATGATGGGGGAGGAGAGAGTGATCCAATCAACAGTAGAAGGCGTATCTACATGTTGGGGAGGAGAGACAGTGAGCCAATCAGCAGTAAAGGGGTGTGTCACTCATGATGGGGGAGGAGAGAGTGATCCAATCAACAGTAGAAGGCGTGTCTACATGTTGGGGAGGAGAGAGAGTGAGCCAATCAGCAGTAGAAGGCATGTCTACTCATGATAGGGGAGGAGAGAGTGATCCAATCAACAGTAGAAGGCGTGTCTACATGTTGGGGAGGAGAGACAGTGAGCCAATCAGCAGTAAAGGGGTTTGTCACTCATGATGGGGAGGAGAGATAGTGAGCCAATCAGCATTAGGGGGCAAATCACTCATGATCAGGGAGGAGAGAGAGTGAGCCAATCAGTAGTAGGAGGCGTGTCTACTCACGATGGGGGAGGAGAGAGAGTGAGCAAAAGGGAGGTTTGAAGAAACACTGTAGAAAGAGAGATGGCTGAGAGACATTACAAAAGAAAAAAAGTCAGAGGAAAAAAAAATCACAGGAAAAAGAAGGGTTATGATCAGGCAAGAGGTTTGTGAGCTGCGTTAATATTAGAAAAGCTTTCCAGCGCTGGAGAGATCTAAGCGGGAAGGACTGAAAACGGATGCCGAGGTTCTGTTGTTTCTGCTCTGTATTTGAGTAACATTGGTTTTTCTGTTTCATGGAACCAAGATATGTTGTTGTTCTAATGTTAGCTTTAGTAACACGACAGTTTTGATTGTCATTAGCTATGTTATCATCCACACGTTTTTATCTGAATTAAGTGATATCGAATGAAAAATACCTTATAAAATTTGATTGAATTTCATGAGTATCGACTCGAATGAAATGCGTTCGGTCTCATTGGATTTTATCTAGATAGATATACGGCTTATGCGATAAAAGCTGATGGAAACATTATTTGCCTATTAATAAATGAAGAGTTCAGATTAGAGGCAAAAGCCTCTAAGTGCCATTTTAAATTTTCTTCTAAAAAGATCATTTTTATCAAGCTTGTATATTTAAGTTCAGTAATTTTACTTAAATGGCAAAGAAGATTACCTATTAATTGTCATTTAAGTGAAATGAGTGAACTTAAATATACAAGCTTGATAAAAATAGTCATTTTAGAAGAAAATTTAAAATGGCATTTAGAGGCTTTTGCATCTGAACTCTTCAAATAATGAATTGCGATTAAGTTTTAGGTTTTTTTATGGTTGCAACACGCCACAAAACATAGAAGAAGAAGAGTTTATTTCCGGCCAGTATTTCCGCTCTGTTTGCGCACACGTCTGTCAACAAAAACAGATGTAAGTGGACAAAGCAAAAAAATGCTTCAACCAAATGGGTTTCCGTGAGGTGTCTCTGAACAACGATCTCCCAAACAGTTTGAAGCGCTGTCGTTCCCACACCACAGGCCGCCTCCGTTGTCGTTGGGCATTTACGTGCATCTGTATCATTATCGGAATAGCAATGGATAGAAAAACAGAGCGTTGCCATTTACGCAGTCCAGAGACGGAACAGACTATCTTCTTTAGCAGAAGCAATACAATCGTTTTTAAATCAATAAACTAAAAAGTCAATATTTTGGGTCAAATTATTGATTTATTCGGTAGCGGGATAAAGCCTCGCATATACATTATCCCTTCCATATGTCGCTATCAGTTGGCACATAAGCACTATTAGGCTAACGTTACAACTTGTGAAATATTGATCATTTGTTGGTAGATGGCGTGATCCATTTTGTCTAGCAAAACTTTGTTCGCAAATTTTGGCTTGAATGTTGTGCGATTCAGTGCGAAAATTATAGCAATTTGATCGCAAATCAGCATGTGATGTCATTACGTACAGGTTTTAATTCGCTTTAAAGCCGTTGGATGGATACACACTTTCACCAGCTTTATTTGCATGAGTTTTTTTTTTACCGAACTTCAAATTCAATTGACAAGTGGATGGAAACTTGGCTATTGTTTGTCTGGAGCTGATGTGCTGCTGGCAACTAACAAAAAAACTCTTGCTTGTAGTGTTGTCAAAAAACTCGGTACTACTTCGGTACCAAGTCGGTACAAAAAAAAAAAAAAAATGTTACGGTACCAGCTTTTCTAGGTACCGAGTACCAGGTTAATCCAGTTCTAGACGCGCTGTCTGAAAGGTGCACCTCTTCATAACGCTGATATGGCTCTCTCTCTCTGAATCCACTTGTTGACACGAAAGGAGGAAAGAGCCACATATGGAAATATTTTGGATTAGGCTAATGTCACGTTGCCATAAGAGGCCGATTACATGCAAATTCGCAATTTCAAATATAGGCGCGAGGCAAGCGCGCTCATTATAAAAACTCGTTGCATAGCAACGACAGACGCCGCGTGAGAGCAAGCGCTTTGGAAAGAATAAGCACGCGCAAAAATATAATAAAAAACACGCGCGACATGTGAACGGCCTCTAAAGTGCTTTCGGGGTAGTTTTACGAGTACATGAGCACAGTAGTATCCACCCGACACCAGAGTAGCCTACTGGTATTAGTATTGATGCATCCCTATTTATGTCATTTAATGTCAGTGCCAGTTCTAGGCGTATTCTTGCCTTTATAACTCAGCAGGTTTAAAAAGCCTTTTTAAAATTAAATATGAATGCAGTTTTAGATTAAATAAAAGCACAGTCAAGTCAAATAAAACATGTTTTATCTCGTGTATAGTTTGGTAATGCTACAATAAGATACCATTCATCAACATTACTTAGTTCACATCAACACATTGAGTGAACAATATATTTTTACAACATTAATTAATGTTTGTAAATGTTATTTAATACAAACACTTGGTTGTTCATGTTTGTTCACTTCATTCATTGTGCATTAAATAAATGTTAACGGATTAAAACTTTACAAACAACTTTAAAAATGTGTTAGTGCATACTATTGTTTATTTTAGGTCATTTTATCAAATTTTTTTCTAAAGTGTTTATAATGCAAATGTACAGTTTCCATACTTGTAACCGTGATAAACACTTAAATATATGTAAATTTAAACTAAGCTTTGGTACCGAAATTGGTACCGAGAACCGTGAATTTTTACTGGTATTGGTACCAAATACTGAAATTTTGGTACCGTGACAACACTACTTGCTTGTATTTACTTGTGTATTGTATGTACATTTTTTGTTCTTTGTTGTTCATTCGTCATCTTCTCCATTTTTCGTTCACTCTTGCATTGTGTGTTCGTGCATTTTGGAGGCGGAGCAATGAAGGGAGGGGCGTGTTTGTTTGGGTTGATTTCAATTATCAACCGTGTTTCTCAGAAATCGCTTACTGCACCTTTAAGGCAAACCAGCCACGGTAATTTTTTTTTGTAAATGAGATGTATACATCATCTAAAAGCTGAATAAATAATCTTTCCATTGATGAATGGTTTGTTAGGATAGGACAATATTTGGCCGAAAAAAATTGAAACATTGAGAAAATCGCATTTAAATTTGTCCATTTATGTACTCGTGGCTGGTTTTGTGATCCAGGTTCATAATACGGTTGGTCGCTAACGTTTTAAAGACGGGCTTTACAAACAATCAATTAATCAATAAGATTCTTCTTTTATATATAATTTCTACAATATACATTACCTGAGTCTTGGACGCTGACACAATGGGGTCGTTCAAAACAATGTCCCCATCAGAGGGCCATGAAAGAAAAATAGCATAGATTGCGTTCTCCTTCGGATTCCATGTATACCTGTAAGGACAAAGCAAAATTATACTTTGATTTAAAGGTAAATAAAGGTGAAAGAGATTAAACGGAAGAAGAGGGAAGAGAATAGTAGCATGTTAATAATGTTCATGAGAGAGAATGCATAACGTAACTGACCAAACTCCAGGAGTGACAGTGTCGTTCTGAACTCTCCATGCGCTGCTGTTGTAAATGGCTTCTCCGTTCACCTTAAGCCACTGACCAATCTGTCGCAGACGCTCCTCAAATATGGGCACGATGCGGCCGTCATGTGTGGGGCCAACGTTCAACAGCAGATTCCCCCCGCAGGACACCGTCTCCACGAGACTCTGTAAGACAAACAAAGGACTTCTAAATGTTCACTGCATATATATACAGGTTTGGGGCCAATAAAATGTACTTATAAGGAGAAGGGATGCATTAAAAGAGACAGCAAATACATTTATAATGTTACAAAAGATTTTGATTTCAAATAAACGCTGTTTTTTTTAAACTTTCTGTTCTTCGAAAATATTAATCCTGACAGAAACTGAAAAATTTTCATCTTTGCGTGAACTATCGTTATAAGCAGAGTAGACGCAGTATATGCACTCTATCCACAAGTTTCCTACGCCCCATGAGGCCTTGCGTCAAAAGTGGGCGCGACTTCCGGTTGGAAGTAAACAAAGCGCGATTTGACATGCTTCACACTCCTTCATTCAACAGTTGACAGTCATTCAAGTTATAGCGATCCAAACTAGCTAACGATGTGGGAACACAACCTCAACGAAATTAAAAAGGGTGAAATAACAGTACCTTAACCCTCCGCAGTCGTTGGTTGGGAGTATTATAATAACATTATTAATAATCAATACTCATCAAGGCATGGTGACAGACAGTTGTGTGAGCTGACAAACAATTAAAATAAAAAATACACACTTAGTCATTGTGCTTTGGAGTTTATTCAAAATTATAAATGAATGTGCTGCTTGAATACATTAACTGGCACATTTGGTATTCTGTCAACAGAGGCTTTGATCCTGAGTTTAGCTGGAACATCAGTAGAGAACAGCCAAACACATGCTGATAGAGTTTATAGAACATTAAGAATTTAAACAAATGTACACAGGAAGATTCGTCGTCTTTTGGGAGGTGATGGAAACTACAGTCGTTGGCAGGATCAGAGACGGGCTCTGGCAGGATCACTTTGATTTCGTTTTCAGCTTATGTTCAAAACAATCACGTTTAAGCCACTGAACTAGTTTAGTCCGGTTATACATACAACCGCGAACAGCACATGTTGTCCATGAACTCCGTAACACCATCTCTCATAAAGATTTGCGTCTTTAAATAGTAAAATAATTCTCAGAAAAACAGCTAGCCTCTTCGCTAACTAACACACAAAATACCATTGGAATGCTACTTCTGCCGCCTCACCGGAAGTTTCACCCACTTTATTTTTTACAGCAGCGCCCCTCGGAAACTTGTGGATAGGCGTGTTTTCTTTGTTGTGGTTTATGAAGTGAAGGACAAACTCAATAATTTCCGATTGCACATCGATAACAGTGTCTGAGCGAATGAGTGTAAAACTCACTTGTATCACTTGTTCGGTGGTGAGGTAATCACTGAGTTTGGCCTCTCTCCTGTAGCCCCATGACTTCTGGTCAATGGACAAGCAGTTCTCCCACTTGTGCTTCACCAGGTGTCCTGGGTTGTACCGATCCGAACAGGTGTAATATCCACCATGTTTACATATGCTGCCATATCCCCAACGGTCATTGGTCACAACAGTGTCACGTACAGGGCTGAAAACACACATTTGCCATCAGTTATGCCAGGGGTTTTCAAACTTTGTGTGTGTGTGTGTGTGGACCACTATTTGTAATCAAGAATTTTCACGGACCACCTCATAATACACATATTATATTATTTATTACATATTATAATCAGGTTCATTTGAACAACAGGCTTATTTCCAAAGCAATGGAGTATGAAATCTATACAGTAATAAGAACACTTGGATATAGTCAGCATTTCAAAATCTTTATCGATTTTAGGGGATTATTAACGTTAATCTTCAGAGTTCTACAAGTCCTCAAAAAGTAGGCTTGAGTTTGTCCACTTAACAGCACATCCGCAAACCATTTCAGAAACACGGGATCAAGATATAACAGGCCTTATATTCATTCCATTTATAAACATTTCGTTTCATATAGGCCTAAACTGCCTTTAAAGGCTATGCTTGTGATAATGAGAACATATTTGCCTCTGCCCTATAACGTTACACATTTAAAGAAAACACAGTAGGCCTAACGTTATTCCAGGTTAAAAATAAAGTTGTTAAAAGGAAAAGGCATTGGAGTCTTATTGCCAGCCCGACATGAACGTAATATCCTACTTTGTCACCCTCCACATCTTTCCAATTTAATTTACATTTTAATTTACAATCACCCACCACATCTTTACAATTTAATTTACATTTTATATAAATAAAGGCCTACATATTCTTTTTCCTTTTTTTAATGGGAATTTCTTGGTAAAATATTTTATATTTTATTTTGCCTTTTCACGGACCACCTGCAGTACCCTCACGGACCACTAGTAAATGGTAAATGTGGTCCGCTGACCACAGTTTGGGAATCGCTGAGTTATGCTACATGACTTTACATAGACAGTTCTAGTATGCAACTTGTTTGGTCCTCTACAATGTTATTTTGAAATGAAATCAAAGATAAAGTCTTTAGTCTATGTCTGATTGCTTTGAGTTCATCTAGACACTAGTGCACTCCAAAACATTGACATATAATCAATAATCGTTTAGGAGAAAAATGCTACTGTTATAAGGTAAAGAGGAATATTTTGACTGAGGTGATCATTGGGGCGAGGTTTAGCTAGTTATTAACTGTCACTGTCCCACAGGTGGGACGTTTGCCACTATATTTTTAAAACAATAATATCTTAGTAAATACCTTAAATAATATTGACAAACTATATATCATTTGAAAGCTTACAATCTCTAGTTTCCATATTTGGTGACTGATTTTCAAAATATATTACAGAGGAGTCATAATTTATCAATATAAAACAAGAATATTTTCATACTCATAAGGTGTGTTCAGACCTTTATTTTAAAATAGCAGTAAACATGAAAAATCATGAAAAAATGGTAGATACCTCAGTTTGTTTTCATGCCAAAAGTTCAAAAGATAGAATCCATTCAATTATTTTGGAAAAAAAAGGTCTGAAAAGTTTGAAATATCAAGAAAAAAATAATAAATTCACCATTTGTGACGTGGCAGCTAGCTATGACTTACATGCGTGTTCTTTGTATGTGTTTCTTAGAGGTTCAATTCATATCAAAATCTGCCAAACTTCCCATGCTACTTCTGAATAGGATCTCTACTTCAGAAATTGTATGAAAATTGTGAAAATAATGGTTCATATCACTCAAAACACGAATGGAAATGCAGGCGCCCTTATATGGGCAGTAATGGAGTCTGATTGTGCCCTAGTGAAAAAGTTTGGTACTGCGCTCAAACAAAATCTTACTGAAAGCTCATTTTTTGAGATATCAACCTAAAATTTGAAACACAACTTGTTCAGATTTTTGGCTTTGATCTTTCTGCCATTTTAGAGTAGCCCAGGTTTTGAAAATATATATTTTATGTAAAATATGAATAATTAATATTTTTACATTGTACATTTCCATAAACTCAAACTTCTATAACTTTTTTTCTGTTTCACTTTCTTAATTTATTTCACTTCTACAAAAATCTGCCAAATGTCTTCTTTAAAACAAGACCAATCATATGTCTATATTTCAAAGCATTCTTGAATTACAACCATTTAAGTTCGAAATGTGCATTTTCATGTCTATTCAAAAAAGGGGGGGTGACAGTTAACAGGTTAAAAAAGTGAGCCCCTGCTGGTAGATGAAGCAATTACACTATCATTGTGTATTCTAACAAAATAAACAAGAATGGCAAACAGGATATAAATCACAACATTTTAAACCCTATAGTAGATGGTGGTCTTTGGTCATTTTAAACATTGTAAATTTTTATTTATTTTTCATTTTTTACTTTTATTTTTTACATTTTTTATCTGAATGAAATGAAACTTGCTGACTTTTGTGCCACTTGCTAAATTCTGGACATGATTAGATAAATGGATGAATGGTCTTGAAAAAACACGGTCATACTTGTGATCTTTGTGAATGAAAATGAAAGGAACAGGAAATATATATAGCTACAAAAAGAAGAAAATTCAAAATAATTTCTGAGGTACAATCTACAGCCACAACGAAGTAGCACACACACACACACACACACACACACACACACACATATATATATATATATTAGGGGTGTAACAGGGGTGTAGTAATTATATTTAAATAATATTTAAATAATAATATTTAATTTTTTTATAAATATTATGTATAAATTATATGTGAATATTGTCTCACACCATGAAATATCAAAATACATAATATTAAAGAATGAATAATAATGAAAATAATTCAACCAATTTTGTAATACAGTACAGTAATTTAATTGAGAAATTCTGAATGTAAACTGCGTGTGAAATGGACATTTGATATTGCATTAGATATTTTTTCCTATCTGCTGCCTCTGGACATCCTGGTTTCTTGGTTTGTAATCATGACACTCATCTCAAGGTGTCCTTACCTCTCGTTATAGAGCCAGGCGAGGAACCCTGTGCTGTTCCAGTATGTGTCAGGCGCATCTCCGTCACCATCAGACCACAGTAATTCAGGCTTGAACTTGTAGATTAACTCGTACATCTCTGGCAGGGTCTTGGTAGTAGGGAACACATTCGTTTTGTACAAGTTGTTAGCATCGGCTCTGTACAGAGGGTTAAACCACTCAAACAAGGAGTGGTAAAGCCCCAGACGCAAATCACTGTGTTTCCGCAAAGCAGTGGCGATCTCATCCACCAGATCCCGCTTCGGCCCAACCGCCATGGCGTTCCAGTTCCACGAGTACTTTGAGTCCCACATTGTAAAGCCTGAGCAATTTAAACACAGGAATGAATTTTACAATAAGGTTCATTTGTTAACATCGTTGGTCGAGTGAAAAAAAAAAACGTGTATTTACAAAAACTTTCACCTCCAACCACAACTTTCAGGCGCCATCTTTATTTTTAGCTCAACTGTCACTAAATGGAAAGCGCACAGGATTGTGGGAAGTCAAAGGCAGTGAAGGATTCATCTATACTGCCTTCAAAAATCCATCAGATGAAAGTATCTCAGGTGACAGGAAGTAAAGCTAACATTGGATTAGACGTGCATTGATGCCTTCCTACATTGGAAAGTGTCATCCGAAGGCAGCAGTTTTAAGATTTCAGACGAAACCAATGTTTCAGGTATTGCGGTATGGTGTTTTGGTGCCTGTTTATTTTATCTACTTGGATAAAATCTGCTTTTGTATCTTGAAATTGTAATAACCACCATAAAACATGGTGTTACGTCCTGGGGACGTATTATTATGAAAAGTGTTTTTGATTTGTATTTTACTTTGTTAAATTGCTGTGTTAGTTGTGCTCTGTCAGTCTCTCCCTCACTCTGATTGCATTGCAGCTAATTAGCCACACCTGAGGCTCGTGGAGAGTTGCGGAGCTGCACTATAAGAGAGCAGAGTGAACATGGCTTGAGGAGGTTCACTTCTCCCCTGCACCAGACTTGTGTTGTTGTGAATATGGAGTGCTGAGCTGGTGTATTGACCTGGTCTGTGGAAGACTACTCTGTCTCTGTGTGTACACGTTGCTGTTCAAAGATAGCGAGTAGGGTTGCTTATCAAGTTGTGACAAGTTCTTTAAGGATTTCTTTATAACTCTGTTCTGGTAACTAAAAGGTATTGTATAGAAATCTTTGCATTTGTTTTCTTTTATTTCTTTTGGGGAACGGTAGGGAGACCGAGTCATCTTTTATTTTATATCTCATTATTTCCTGTTTTTGGTCAGTCAGGGAGTAGAGGGAAGCACATGTTGTTTATTTATTTTTCTTTTACCTGTATAGGTTATTTAGTTTTGCTCAACCAGTAAGAACCTTTTTGTTTGTTGTTTTGGTGGCCATCTCCTGAAAATTGCATTCCCCCATTATTTTCTTTGTTTAAATACAATAAATCTTTTCATTGATGATATCCAGTGTTGACTCACATTTCTGGGGCAGAGGATTGAAGGGAACCCTCCACGCTTGCGTTTAAGCTTTACTTAATTTTTATTTAAGTTTGTTACCCTCTCCCAACCCTAGACTGGGAGTAGCTCGTAACAATGGCCAATACTCATATATAGACAGGGCACAGGGTAATCCACACAGACCATCAGAGTAACACAACTGAAACTAAAACATGAAATGCAATAAACATTAATTTAATAACAACCCCTAATGTACAGTACACCACTAATAAACAAAAAAAGAAGAAGAAACAAAACTATTTTTATCATCATACTGTATATGATGGGTCATATAGGGGCTTCTGGAAATGGCCTGTTATTCACATATATAAATCATACTGTATGCTTACTAAATTTGACAGTATTTTAAAGGAAATGCACATAGAATGTGATGTTAAACCAATTATATCAAGTTATTTTATAGTTTAGCATGGAATTTTTTTATCAGTGTTTTTCATTGTCATTATAGCATTCAAATAATTTGAGTTGACGGATATGCAAAAGTGAAATGAAATGCAGTCGGTGCAGTAGTTTTTCACAAACCTTCATGGTGTTTGGTTGTGAGCACAATATATTTGGCTCCAGACGAGGCAAAAATGTCAACCCACTCTACAGGATCAAAGAATTCAGCGTGGAACTGGGATGCAAAGTCTGCGTAGGTGAAGCCAGGTGGATAATTCTGCTCCATAAAGTTCACATAAGACGGGAATTTCCGGCCCTGCCAGTACCACCTGTTGGAAAAACAAAACTATTAAGCACAATTAACCACAAAAAACATTGTCATGAAAGTGACCAGCCATTTAACTTCTTGATTAAAGAAAATAAAACCTGCTTTTTAGAACGATTTGGATTATTTGCATTTCAGATATAATTTTTAAAATTAAGATTATGCACATTGTAATGTAAAAAAAAAAAAATCTATATCTTATTACTGTAATGAGAAAATTTTTTTTAAAAATGATTACAGTGTTTTTTTTTTTTTTGCTATATAGCTCAAAAGTAAAGTGTCTGGTGGAGGGGAAACATGCAACATATGATAATTTCATTTTACAAAGATAGGCGGGTTGTATGACCTGTTTTAATGTTATTAACTCACATTCACTATTGTAGTTTTGTAAGGTATCAGATTGTAGTGTCATGCTTTGATATACTGTAAACCATACTGTAGTAATGAATGATTAAAATTAATAATTGAGTGAATGATTAAAAACATCACGTCATTCACACTGTATTTGTGCTGTTGATGGTGTTTTGCACTGTAGTAAAGTTAGTTTGACTTTGCACATTAGTAGGCACTCTCTGACCAGATTAAGGGACTGCCATAAAAGTGCATGAAAATAAAAATCATTCAAAGAATCCGAAATATGGATATCATTATTAATAGAATGTAATAGTCTGAATTAGGTGAAGTATGAAAAAAATCACTAGGGGTTGTTACATAGTTATTGCATTCCTTTTATTATTTTCTATTAAGGTGTTTAGCAATGCATTCACATATCCATGCCATATATTTTACATATATTGGATTTGTAAAAAAATACAATTTTATGTTTTATTTGATAATTATTATTTTTTTATGTAAAATATTCACATTTATATAACTTGCCAGTCATGTGACCTGATGATTCAGATACAGTTACATAGTTATTGCATTACTTTTATTATGTTCTGTTAAGGTGTTTAGCAATGCATTCACATATCCATGCCATATATTTGACACATATTGGATTTGTAAAAAATATAATTTTATGTTTTTTTGATGTTTTTTTTAAAAAATATAACTTGCCAGTCATGTGACCCGATGATTATAATATCTTCACATATCATATCTAACATGACTTGGATTTAGGAAATATCCTGTTGTGTATTTTAAATATTTTTATTTATTTTTTTAAATATTAAAATCTATTTAACTTTCTGGTCATGTGACCTGACGTTGGCACCTCCACTGTTTTATATTTATAAACACCTGTCACACATCTTACATGCACCTGTTTTTGGGAACATGTCTGATGATTTTATATAATTTTTTTTAATGATTAAAATCCATTTAAATTCCTGGTCATGTGACCTGATGTTGGCATGCATGTGGAAACATGTCCTTGGAGGTTTTATAACAATTTTTTAAACATTTATAGTTTGATTCAAATTTAACAATTTCATATCACCTAACATCTGCAAACATTCTATTATTACAGAACATAATTTACTTTCCCTCAAGCAATCATATCCTGGATCTTCCAAGCTTTTTAATGAGAATGATTAGTACTGTGAAGCCTTTGTGTTCATCAGAAGAAAGAAACTCATACAGGTTTGGAAAAACTTGAGGGTGAGTAAATGATGACAGAATTTTATTTTTTAAGTTAACTATTCCTTTAAAGTTCCTTAAGTGGATCCATAGGTTTTTTCTTGCAACCCATGTTTAACTGAGGGTACCCTTAACCTTATAACTAAAGGTTTTGCTATGTTTCACAGAACAAGATACGCGTGTTTGGCACAAGGTGCTAGGTGGAACAATAAAGGGAGGGCCGTGTTTGTTTGGGTTGATTTCAAATATCAACAGTGTTTCTCAGAAATTGCTTACTGCACCTTTAACATTCCTTATCTAACGGCTTCTTGAATAAATGCATGGCGCAGAGCACTGTGCACATATCTACAGTATGACGGTGCACATGGTTCAAGACTGACCATATTCATATCATATACTGATCTGATTCTCCCTCTATCGTCGCTGTGTTCACTCCACTCTTATTTCAACATCATATTCTTATTTTGTGCATTTCTCAGAAAAAAAAAAAGTCACCAAGGCCTGGACCCACTAAATTCTTCAAACTCAAAGTGCCATGTTAATACTACAATGGGCTCTATGCACGGCGGTATTTCCGGTGAAGCATTAAGGATGCTCGATAACTTCCGCCGATTGTAGAGTCCAATGCAATACCGAGAATTTATATTGAATTTTATACTCCATGGTTATACTAAAGAAACGTTAGTCACAAAAACAGATAAAACAGACACCCCTCGTTGTGTTTATGCTTCTTTTTAAAATTATATGAAATAAATATAACTATATATAAAATTACATCTAAACGCATGTACGTTTCGTTTCAAAGACTGGAGGACAGTACATTTTGAAGACTCTGCCATAATCCCGTTTTCCTCGGTTTTCCTCCGCTTTAATCTCCACAACCGGAAATGGACGAGCATCCTTGCATCAAATGCGGAATTTATGCGTGCATAATACAACCAATACAAATACTTAAGCATTTACTTAACATAGTTATTATGAAATTACTTTTATGTGAGAAACATCTGACAATATAAACAGGCCTTGTGTGACAACAACAGGTCACATGATAGGGAAATTAAATGGTATGAATAAAAGAATTAAAAAAAAATGAGGAAGCTGTATGCTGCAGGTATGTGACGGATCAAGTGAGTTCATGTAGACAACCACATGTGATCTGAAACAAAAACGAAGTAGCTATATAGGCCTAATATATGTATATTTATAAATGTTTTACAAACTGTTTAACTGTTTAAATTAAATTAAATTAAATTAAATTAAGTAACTTCTAAGTATTTTGACATACTGAGGAAGCTTCCTCATTCTTTAAAAAAAAAAAAAAAAAAAAATCACCAAAAACACACAAAATGATTCTTCAACTTATGTGACATCATCAGGTCACAACACCCAAGCAATTTAAATAGCTGCCAAAGACAGTCTTTAAGAGACTGTTTACACAACACTGTTTTCAACTAAAAACTTTAAAATTTATATGAGTTTTGGTCGTTTATTTAAAGGACAAAGGCGTTTTGGGTGCCTGAAAACGAAAACTTTTGAAAGTGTGTTCTGTGTAAAGCTGTAAACAATAAAAACGTGAATCTGTGAAAACCATGGTCCATGACGACCTCATGTTTAGTCTAGAGTGTTTCATCACCATCTAATGGCCTGGCAGCAGAATACAGCGTTTTTAGTCGTTTTTGCGTATCTGTGTGAATGGGAATTGTTTTGTGCCCTTATTCACGATGATCAAACGAGAGTTGTTTAAAAATCACATGATGTAGTGTGGTTGTCTACAAAAATTCACGTGATCCATCACATATCTACCAACTGCCAAACAACAATAAAAAAATACCGCAACTGAGTAAGCTTCCTCATTCTGAAAAATAAAATCATCAAAAACATGCAAAATGATAATACAAAACAGGTGTGATATAATCAGGTCACATGACCTAAGCAATTTAAATAGATTTCAATAATATATATATATATTTTTTTTATAAAGACATTTTCCAAAAAAATAATACATGAAAGATGTGTGAGAGATATATGTTCATATAAAACAATGTGTGTGGGTGTAGCAGCATCAGGTCACATGACCAGGAAATTAAATAGATTTTAATAGTTCAAAGATAAAAAATAATCTCTAAAATCAACTAAAACATAATATCACACGGTGTAAGATGTGTGGCAAGAGGTTTGAATGTGGTTTGACATCTATTGGTCAAAACACTCTGAAGTTAAATAGACTTATTTAGTTAATTTAAGCATTTACTTGCATTAATCAGCTATTGCACATTTATAAAGCACATTTAAATTATATAGCTAACGTTACTTCGTTTTTAACTAAATTAAGTTCAATCGTTACATAGCTGCAGAAAAATATTGTATATAATCATGCACTGTTGAAGGTTTTGCACTTTTGCGACACTCCCCAACTGACTGTCAAACTAAAGTCCAGTATCAAACCAGACGCAGACTTACCAGAACCATTCACTGCCATAGCTGGGAACTGAAAACACTCCCCAGTGAATGAAAATGCCGAATTTAGCTTGATCGAACCATTCCGGTATAGGTCTTGAATCAACTGATTCCCAAGTAGGCTTGTATTGACAAACACAGGTGCCAATCGAGAGTAAAAAAAGGGATAAAACACCCCAGTGATGCATTGTGCTGCCGCTGTCTCTTATTCACAGCGATCTAATGGGAGTTGTATCAGATCACATGTTGTTCTAAGGTTGTCTACATAACTCACGTGATCTACCTGTCAACTGCAAAACAAAAGAACAAACCGTTTAAAATTCAGCTTCCTCATTCAGAAATCTGGAAACAAGCGCCACCAATGGGAAGGCTCAATTTATGAATATTAACTAGGAAACACGACGATCGCCGATGATTGGCTAAAGCAATGCTGGATGACCTAATTAATATTCATGACATAAACCTTCGCTGTAGTCGGATTCGTCACATCCTGTTCTGTACTTGATCCGTGTGAACGGTGGTTATTAACGATCTGAAAATATACATCTATGCAAGGATATATCGACTGTCACTGTCATATTTCTGCCGAAGATTTTGACAGTGTAAGAAAGAAAAATAGTTGCAATGTTTATAATACTAACGTTATAGAACTGTATGAGAAGTTCCATAATGAGTGTGTGTTTTGTTTATTTAGGACATTGATGATGTCATTGGAGAGTCTAAAAAGGTACCTTTTTCAATCTATATTCTCTGTCAAACCATATTACGAGTGCAGTAATGTTTGTTTTTATTTTTTAGGCTGGGCTTGTTGCCCTTCTTGCTGTAGCAGAGCATGCTGGTGAATTTGAGAAAATTATACAGCTCTCACAAAGGTATATACATATTATCTTGTGTATTATTTTCAGCAAACTCAATATTAAATGGCTTCAATTCCCTATAGGTTCCCTGGATTCATTATGCCATGTCTTGGAGTTCATCCTGTCCAAGATCCAGCACAACCCAGAGGAGCCGTACTGGAGGTCTGAAACATATGCATATAAAGATACATTAATTTTATTTACTGTCAGCTGTACTGCTGACACGGTTTCCTTCTTTTCTGACCCACAGGATTTAGATGCTGCATTGCCGCTGATTGAGAAATACAAGGAGCACATTGTGGCTATTGGTGAGGTTAGACATATACTGAATGTCTAACTAGTTGTTAAGTAGAGAATAGAGTTCTATAAGATTTCAATAGGGTAGGCAATTTTGGAGAGGCTAGTAATAGCAAGTTAGCTCTGAAAGCACAAGATCCCACCCTTTCTTCACAGCGTTCTCTAAAGACACGCCTCCTTCAAAAAAACATGAACGCGTACAGCCAGAGCAAACAAAAACGTTAAAATTACCTCAAGTCTCAAAGCAGTTGAACGTATACAACTTAAAGTTGTATACAACCTAAAGCTTTAGTTGTACCACCTGCAGGAACATATCGTAATTGCCATATCGTAATTACTTTTATGAGTTGGTGTAAACATAGCCTAAGTTCATTGTTTTGTTTCAGGAGGAACTGTGAAAGGCGGCTGCTGTTTGTTTGTGACTGTTAACATCTTGTCCAAGCGGACACGGGTATTTTTATAATCCTGACTTTTTTACGCTGTTCGGTCGTTCGTCCACATGGAAACGCAGTATCAGGACACTGAAAATGAACATTTTTGAAAACCCCTGGCCTAGGTGAGGATTTTTAGAAACGGCAGTTACTGTGTTGTCATGTAGATTGTAAAACTGGGGGTTTTGCCTTGTGACGCCAGAGTGTGCACCGTTATCCGCCTACCGGAACCTGTAATAACTTTTTGTTAGGCTTCTGATTAGAGCCTGGCCGATAAAGGATTTTGAAGGCCGGTACCGATACAAATATTTATTGATTTTAAAATCCGATATATCGGCCGATATTTTTTTATTTATTTTTTAATTTCAGAAACGCGCAACAAAACATTAACGGATTTCCCTAACATTAGTTATTTGTAGTTATTTATGAGTTTTAACTAAAATAATATGATAATGCATTTTAAAAAGAAACTCGTTTCTTTTATTGTCACAACAGAACAGATTATCGTAGCATTAGCTAGCTTTGTAGTTAGCTAGTCTATGATGAGCCATAATTTAGCAATGAATAACGTCATAATGGAAATTGTAAAACATACATTTTCAATATAACAGGCCAGGGAGAGATGATGTGTCTCATTGCTAAAACTGTCAAGCGATATCGATACCGATAGTTTGGAAAATGCCTAATATCGGCCGATAATATCGGCCTGCCGATAAATCCGTCTGGCTCTACTTCTGATTGGCCAGTGTGGCTTTACGGTTAGCGTTATATTGCCACCTGCTGGAGTGGCATGCTCTTGACAGCGCTTGATAGTGTGTTTTTGCATTTTCATGTGGACAGGATTTTTTTTTTAAACTCCGGTAGAAAAATACCCGTGTCTGTGTGGACAAGGCCTAAGGCTGCGTCTACATTAATCCGGATACATTAGAAAACAGCGTTTTTGTTTAAAATCGCTCTCCGTCCACATTTGTGTTTTCAAACATTTTCCAAAAGTTGCGAATCCACACTGAAACGCAAGAACACGTTAAATTACTGTGCATGTGCAAACCCACACAGAAGCTCACTGTGATGATACAGATGAAAAAAATAAATCTCGCAATTCTTCTGGCAGGATCATTTTATTTAGGAAAATATCTAAAACACAAAAATGCTCTCATGTTTTGCCGTTGGAAAGCAAATGCAAATAAACATATTTTAGCAACTGTGAAACTGAATAGCACCTAACAGACACAACACCGGTATAAACATAAATATCTATGGGTTCAGTATGCGTCACATGACTAAACTTACGTGATCGGTTTTAAATACCTGTGTTTTGACAGTCAACACTACAACACGAAAACGGCATTTTCAAATTTATCCACTTTGGAGAGCTTTTTCAAAAAGCTTTGTTTTCATGAATGAACGAAAACATAATAAGTGTGGACAAGGCCTAACTCCGCATAACCTTACGAAACGCGTTGACGTGTGAAGTCTGTGCTAGCAGGTGCGCAAAGGTATGGAAATACATCAGGGTATATACAGTAATCCTTAAGTTAAATTTACTACTTTTTAATAGCCTTTTTACTACCTTCAGAATTTTTTTTAAAACCATCATGACACTGAATTGCAAGTGTTAACCAGCGCTATTACACAGATTTTCACATTTATAACATACAAAAATGAATAGATTTAGAGCACGCATTCCATTTTATGTTTAGTGGATTGCATTTGCGACCGAAGTGCATTAGCTCCCATCCAGTTGACAGTGATGTTTTTTTACACACCAAACAATAGAGGGAATGCATTGACATCACTTTCCCGCCGGTACAACCCCCCTCAACCTGACTGAGTGGCAAAAGATCTGCTGCGTGACTGGATTTTATAGGGGAAACTATTCAACGAAAATGCGACTAAAACTAAAAATTTGATCAATTTAAACTATATGTTGGACTCAATATAGTTGGACTCCTAACAACTTACTAAAGATCCAGTGATCCATGGATATTGACATGCAGCCAGCAATCGTTTGGCCTGACATTTATGTTTGCCTGATTTCAATAAAAGGGAAACAAAAGCAATATATAGATCTACTGTACATAGGCTAAAGCAAATTTGCCTGTGAACGCTTTATATAAATACAATATACCTATATTGGTCTAAATCCGGGTGACCACATATATCAGGGTTATATAGCCTCTATATATCGTCATATTGTCCAGCCACTGAATATGACGTCAGCATCAAACATAGACAGGGATGAAAGATCTATAAGCTAAAGCCCATATTTATGCGGACTAACGCAAACACAAAATAGGACACCTGATAGTCTGAAAAAAAATAATACCTAATTTTTAAAAAATAATACCTCTCAGACTAAATTTAACACTTTTAATGGCCTTAAATTTGACAATTTTGATTTATCACTTTTTAATACTTTTTAAAACCCCGCGGACACCCTGTACATATCTTGACAGACAGCTGGGACATCCTATCATTGCATTCGGACCGAATGCAATGATTGGACGAACAAATTTTGGTAACGCTTCCTTTTACAGTCCAGCTACCCATATAAATACTATGTACTTATTTTAGTAACTACAATTACTGGGTAATAACTAGTACTAACCCTGATCCTACCCCTAAACCTACCCATGTTCCATGTACTTACATTATATTAGCCAGTACTTTCTAGGTAAGTACACTGTAAGTATTGTACTGTAAAAGGAAGCGTTACCCAAATTTTATATGTACAAAAGATATATGTGCATGTTTTAATATTTAGACCACTTCTAGTATTGATTGCTTTGATGAGAAGAGAGTTTAAACCAGTGTAACAAAAACTGCTAAAAAAAATCACCTACCTTTAATTGTTTCAATGAGCAGTCCAACATTGTTGGTCAAACTTTTGTTAATACAGGCAACAAAACAAAGACGTCCACTTCCATCAATACCCAAATGAACTATTCAGTGTTATGATTTTTTATATAAATGTAAATGTTAAATATGTATCATTACATATAGGTCGGCCTGGATTTCACACCACGTGTAGTCAACAGTGACGCTGGGAAAGACGGACAGAGACAGGTACTCATTCGACAGGCTGAAATCGCGAAGCAGTTAAATCTGCCTCTGTAAGTGTCACGCTTCTGGCTTTGGATATTTGTGTGCACATAAAAAATGACATTATGATCTTTCATATAGCAGTGAGTTTTGTCTGTTAGGAATGTACACTCAAGATCTGCTGGAAGACCAACCATCCATCTTTTGAAGGAGCTGGGTATGCATACATACCAAAACATGCATGACAAACAGTGCTTGCTTATTCATAAATCTGTTGCTTTTCATGATTTCAATCTTGTCTGTTTTCAATAAGGTGTAGAAAATCCACTTCTTCATGCATTTGATGGAAAACCTTCAGTTGCAATGGAGGGTGTGAAAGCTGGTTATTTTTTCTCAATACCTCCATCCATTGTAAGGAGTGATCAGGTAAATATAACCTAATGTTAAAAGGTTTTGTACGGTGGCCGAGAGAGGTCGACGGTGCTGCAACTGAAGAAAATACATGCAAAACATCTTCATTAGTTTCACAACAAATCCTCACAACTCAAGGAAATACAGAAACAAAACTTCACAACACAACCTAATACAGAAACGTGCTGCAAATAGCGCAAACCATAGTGACGAACCCGGCATCCCTATGCCCTACTCCCTTCGAAGGGTAGACTTTGGAGTGAGCAGGGCACTAGTGTGCCATCACGTAGCCGTTTGGAACGCACTTGGTAAAGGAACAAAATACATCGTCATTCCCTCATTATTTTCACCTAGGATGTTTCCATGACAACGCAGCACGGTGTCCCGACGAATAGCTGTTCTTACGACAGACATTACGTATTATTGATGTTAACATAACTGCTGCAAATAAAAATACATTTTAAGTTTTTAAAATGCACGTTATAAATCTATGTGTATAACTTTAAAACTTGCCGTATCATCTTAGGACCCTGCATTGCCTAACATTTCTTATGAAACTTAAACATAACATGCCAAAGTTTGTACAATGTAACTGATGTATAGATACCCTCATGGTCTTTTTTTATTTTATTTTTAAAAAAAATGATTTGTATTCTGATGACGTTTAACATAAATATATTTTGTTTATTGTATACAAAAAAAAAAAATGTGTCTCTAATCTAAAAACTGGGGGTCTGCAGTCAGCGTTGCCAAGTCCAAGGTTTTCCTGTGTAATTGGGCAACTTTAAAACCCTTTGCCACGGATTAATTTTTCCCCCACGGATTAAAGTTCAAGTTCATTTTATTCATCACTTAATTGGGGTCGCCTGGAAACATTTCCCTTGTGGTCTTTGCTATTTGCAGTGTGTTTCTGTATTTGGTTGTGTTGTGAGTATTTGGAGCACACATGTGTTGTAAAACTGATGAAGATGTTTTCTTAATTTGCATGTTTTTTTTTTCTATTTGCATGTGTTTGCTTAAGTTGCAGCGCTTTGAGCTCTCTCAGCCACCGTAGTTTAGACTCTTCCTGCCAATATTTGCAAGTTCCCTTTACAGTATGTGCTCAATGAAGTATAATTGAACAGTAAACATGAACAGAAATGTTAATATGAGAATTATGTAGTGACTGAAATGTCAAACACATAAAACCTCTTTTTTTATATTTTTAAATATTTGGGCCTGTTCATTCAAAAATTTGATGAACTAATTTTTTTAAGATTTAAAAAAATATATATATGTATAATTTTTATGTGTATACAAACTAATTTCAAGCTTTTAAGCGAAAGTCTTAATATGAAAATGTTCTTTGAAATGAACTTGTAGTGTATATCTTTTAGCATAATTTACAAAAACACCTCAGTGCATTTATTAGTCACACATCTCATGATATCCACCTTTGAAAAGAAGCAGAAGCTGGTGAAGCAGGTTCCTCTGGAGAGCATGTGTTTAGAGACGGACGCTCCTGCGCTGGGACCTGAGAAGCAGGTACTGCAGCTTTCAGTTTTTCTGTCATAAACATGATTTGATGTTTATTTACATCTGTGTTTTTACTCTAGGTGAGGAATGTACCAAGTAACATCAGCATTAGTGCCGAATATATCGCCAAAATCAAAGGAATTCCCTTGGAGAAGGTCGTAGAGGTCACTACCCAGAATGCCCTTCGCCTTTTCCCCAAATTAAAAACATTTATCAAAGCTTGACATTAATACCGCACATCGGCAAAGCTGCTTAAAGCTGTCCTTTAAACAAACAAATGTGTATTGTTGAGTAGAAATTAAGATCAAGAAAAAAATATGTATTTTTTTTCCAGAAGACATTGCTTATTTTCATTTATTTGACTGAAAAGTGTTAAGATTATTGGACTGATTAATCATTTGGGTTTTTTGATTCAAGATGTACCCTTTTGTTTCGATTCAGGGAATGATTGCAAATGACCACAGTTTTGTTGTGATGCCAAAAAAAATAAACAAATACCTTATGGGTCTCAAACCTGTTTATGAAGTCATTGAGCAACAAGTTTACCACAAGCTAATGTGGTGAAGATTTTTGCAGCATGTTTAAATGAGCGTCAAAGACGTGATTTTTCATTAGGGTAAATAAGAGATGGAAGGACACACAAAAGAAGTTAGTATAATGAAAAATAAAACCGCAGAACTTGCTTTTACCAATAGATGGCAGAAAATACAACAATGTTTGCGTCTCTAATCTAAAAACTGGGGGTTTGTGATCTTGATCTTTGTAAAATTCCTCTGAAGTTATCAAATTTTCATAAACAAGTATTGCTATTTTGGAAAATGATATTTACCCACAATTTCTCCCCTCACAACTCCACTCTATGGAACAATAGGGCTATAGTTATTAATAGGAAATATTTGTTTAAAACTGATTGGTATAGTAAAGGCATTATTTTTATTCATGATTTATTAGATGATAATGGATATTTCTTCTCTCATTATGATTTTATTAATAAATATAATGTTAGAATTACAATGAAAGGTTATGATAAAGTATGCAGTGCTATACCTATTGGATTGCTAAGAATAATTCAAAGTAGTTTTCTTGATCCTGTAGCTAGACCAGTATCCCTTCCCTCTTTAAAAATATGTAATGTAGACCTTTTAGACAGTACGTGCAACAACAAACTTATTTACAAAGAACTCAAACATATTATCAATGGTGACTTTCAGTGCTATTTTTTGGGTGATGTTGAAACCTCAGTGAAGGATAAAGCTTTTACATGCTATATGGCATACCCAGTTGCTCCGAAGGTCAAGGAGACTCATTACAAAATTATGTTTAAGGTTTACCCAGTAAATGATTTTATCCAGAAATGATTTAATTTCGAGGTGGAACCTTGTGGCTTTTGTTCTTCTTGTCCTGAAACACTCGATCATCTTTTCTTTTATTGTCAGATTACTTCGAAATTTTGGTTTGATATACATAGCTGGCTGTCAGTTAAAATGGAGACGGTTCCTCCTATAGCCCTGCAAGATGTGCTCTTTTTTAAGTGTGATTTAAACTTACACTTCATTGATGTTGTACATTTTGTTTTATTGATGGGTAAATATCATATCCATACTTGTAAATGGAAAAAATGTAAGCCCTCCTTTAGTATATTTCTATGTGATTTTACTCAAATGTTTCAGAGCTTCAAATATTTCAAAAAACGTAATAGAAAGTTTGAAACCTTATGTCACTCTTTATCAAAATATTTACTTTTTTAGTATTTTAATTCCTTTCATGTATACTGGCTATGTGATTGTTTTGACCCTTGACCCTTGCTCCTTTTTTTTCTTCTTCTTCTTTCTAAATCCATACTCTGTATTGATCTAAATGTAAGTGTCTTACAGTTTTTGTATGTTCCCTGTCTTGTTCTGTACATAATGCAAATAATAATAAAAAAAAAATTTAAAAAAAAAAAAAAAAAAACTGGGGGGAGTCAGGGTTGCCAAGTCCAAGTTTTTTTTCTGCCTGTTTTTCAACTTTAAAAGTCTTGCACTGCTAGATATAAGTTTTCTGATCACTACATTATAGGCTAGTGTTCACTTTGCATAACTTAACAGGGACTATAAAATATGTGAATGTCACAATTAGGTAATTTAAGTAGCTTTCATAAACGTGCCTGGGGGGGAAAAAACGGCTATAGCCTACTTGAGCTACAATCTCTTACCATAACAATAGCACTGATATTAAGATATGTCACTACAAGGTGCTTTCAGTTCAACGTGTATTTTAGTCTGGGACTAGTCTGTGAAATCTGATATTTTGGTCTACTTTTGGCCTATTTTTGATTAGCCTTTGTGCTAGTTTTGTTACGCAGACTTGGCAACCCTGTCTGTAGCGCCTCCTGGAGGAAGAAGCGTTTAGTGAATCCGTTTTTGGCTGCTTGTAACATTTGCTGCTGTCTCAAGATCCTCAGATCTCTGTTTGTTTCCACCCCTATGGTTTCCACACTAGAGTTTCCACATTAGTGTCACACAGCTGTTTCATTGCATGTCATCGTATCTAACGTTATGTTTGGACAGCTCACGGAAACTTAATGGAGTTTGAGCATAGTCACTTATAAATGAAGACTTCAGTGAATGTCACCAAGGATTAAAGTAAGTTAGTTTTATTGCTTTAAAAACGGTGATCTTGTTGGCCAGAAAGCTTGTTTGGTCATTTCACTCCACTCTCTTATTTGTTTAATGGAGGTTGAACAGGGTTCTTTCTGAATCCAATGGAGAATGCATTTTACATTTCTGAATTTAATCTGAACTGCTGTAAAGAGTAGTTTATAGGCATATGTGTATTATTCAAAATATGATACCCTAACCCTAACTAAAAGCAATTGTCTGACAGTTCTAATGCTTACAGCTCTGAAAGGTAACAATGGCAGCTGAAATGTTATTGATGGGGGGAATCAACAGTTTTAGAAAAGTTACACTCAAAGGTCAAAACCGAGTCTGTTTTAACACGCCTCACCTTAAAGAACAGGTAAGATTGACTAGCTGCTGTCTGAGCATATTTTATATAATCTGCCATGATTTGAAGTCAACATTTCCAAAGCTTCATCTATTCATCCAGACCAGGTTTTTGGAGAGGCACAGGCTATTTGGAGAGATTCGTCCAGCTCAACAGCATGTCTATGGACAGATCTGTTTATTCCATCAAGATCACAGATATAACAGTGGACCGAAAAGAGAAGATGTCGACACAACCAAAGATGCCAAAACACCTGATTCCAGAAAACATAAGCAAATGGTACAGCACATTAAACTGTAAATTCTTGTGGGTTACACAGTCCTGATTGAAAGTGTGGAAATGTTAAATGTTATGGTCTTATTTACTTTGAATACTTCAACATTTATGCAGCATTACAAATATAATTTTATCTTAAAGCAGTGATTATAAAAACACCTTCTCTGGTTATATTTGTTACTGTTATTTACTCAGTTAAGTGAGAGTTCCAGAGAGAGAAAAGTTCCAGTCACAAGACTGGGAAGGCTGGTGAACTTTGGAGGTGAGATAACACCCATTATAGTGTGATTGGTGGTTTAATTAGCTCGAAAAATACTTTGGCAAACAAGCAAATGCTAAATATTTCATTATTCCCACAGGTTTAGCAGTTGGACTGGGCATTGGAGCCATTGCTGAAGTGGCAAAGAAGAGCCTTGCATCTGGAGGTATATCAGGTGGGAAAATGTGGTTGGACATTATGGTTCAATAATTAATTGGCTGTGATTTACAAGTTGGGTTCTTTTATTCTTCTTTGGCAGGGCAGAAAAAAGCAGTTCTGGACTCAAATCCGTTCATATCAGAAGCCAATGCTGAAAGGATTGTTCGGACTCTCTGCAAAGTGAGAGGAGCCGCACTTAAACTAGGACAGATGCTCAGCATTCAGGGTGAGAGATTCCTCCAAACACATCTGTCTGTAGATATAATGAAGATTTTTACAAAAATTGAAATTCAGTGCAAGGGATGTTTCCTCTGAGTAGGCGAGATGGTCCTCACTGCAGAACATGAAATCCAGGGGGATATCCTCCCACCTTACCTATTCCTAGCCATCTCCACCCCCTGATCCCTAACCCCACCCCTAATCCTACCCATCTCCACCCCCTGATCCCTAACCCCACCCCTGATCCTACCCATCTCTGCCCCCTGATCCCTAACCCCACCCCTAATCCTACCCATCTCCACCCCCTGATCCCTAACCCCACCTCTAATCCTACCCATCTCCACCCCCTGATCCCTAACCCCACCCCTAATCCTACCCATCTCCACCCCCTGATCCCTAACCCCACCTCTAATCCTACCCATCTCCACCCCCTGATCCCTAATCCTACCCATCTCCACCCCCTGATTCTTAACCCCACACCTAATCCTATCCATCTCCACCCCCTGATCCCTAATCCTATCCATCTCCACCCCCGGATCCCTAACCCCACACCTAATCCTATCCATCTCTGCCCCCTGATCCTGACCCCACCCCTAATCCTACCAATCTCCGCCCCCTGATTCTGACCCCACTCCTAATCCTACCCATCTCCACCCCCTGATCCCTAATCCTATCCATCTCCACCACCTGATCCCTAACCCCACCTCTAATCCTACCCATCTCTGCCCCCTGATCCCTAACCCCACCTCTAATCCTACCCATCTCTGCCCCCTGATCCCTAACCCCACCCCTAATCCTACCAATCTCCACCCCCTGATCCCTAACCCCACCCCTAATCCTACCCATCTCTACCCCCTGATTCTTAACCCCATACCTAATCCTACCCATCTCCACCCCCTGATCCCTAACCCCACCCCTAATCCTACCAATCTCCTCCCCTGATCCCTGACCCCTCCCCTAACCCTATCCATCTCCGCCCCTGATCCCTAACCCCACCCCACATCCTACCCATCTCCGCCCCCTGATCCTGACCCCACCCCTAATCCTACCAATCTCTGCCCCTGATCCCTGACCCCACCCCTAATGCTACCCATCTCCGCCCCTGATCCCTAACCCCACCCCATATCCTACCCATCTCTGCCCCCTGATCCTGACCCCACCCCTAATCCTACCAATCTCTGCCCCTGACCCACCCCTAATCCAACCCATCTCCACCCCCTGATCCCTAACCCCACACCTAATCCTACCCATCTCCGCCCCCTGATCCTGACCCCACCCCTAATCCTACCAATCTCCTCCCCTGATCCCTGACCCCTCCCCTAACCCTACCCATCTCTGCCCCTGATCCCTAACCCCACCCCACATCCGACCCATCTCTGCCCCCTGATCCTGACCCCACCCCTAATTCTACCAATCTCCGCCCCTGATCCCTGACCCCACCCCTAATCCTACCCATCTCCACCCCTTAGATCTGGATCCAACTCTGCCCCCTGGATCTCATGTACTGCAATGAGTTGCTACTGGAGGAGGCTAGGTGGCAGTGTCAACTCAAAGAAATTGGATTAAACAAACAATAAATAAATAAAACAATGTAAATATAGCAAAATATGACATTTAAAAGTGTATGAATCACTTGTTTTTCTAAAGTAACACCAGCGACACCAGCAGGTAAAGTTGGGGCGCCGAGTCTATCGCACTATGATTGGATATTAAGAGTTATGATTGGTTCATGTGATTAATCCCGCCTCTTGTTTGCGTGCGAGTTCACAAATCGGTCTGAATGAACAAAATGAGGCATTAATGGGAACACTAATTAAAATGCCTAAACATGATGACTGGTGTGAGCAATTATGTTATTAAAAAATAAAATATTTTATATTACTGCCTTTAGTTATTTTAGAATACGTGCAAAAAAAAAACTTGATACTCTTATACTCTTGATTTATATTTGATACACATTTTTTTTTTGTTAAATAGCAAAGACTTTGCCTCATTTTAAAACACCACTGCACGCAATTATATATATATATATATATATATATAAACATTTTTATGAATAAATTCTAGAATTATTTTTTTTTAGATGTGATTGCTGATTATTGATCTGATCATTTGACTTTTTATCAGTAAATAGCAATACCCAGGGCAACCCCACATAACTGTTTAACATCATGGCACCATTCATTTAAATTTAATTTATCACAATTATTTAAAAATAGGATGGACTATGTATTGTCAAATGCTTGTTTTTACCACTTGTTTTCTTCTTTTATTGGGCAATTACCCTTGCCTTTGACCTGGTGCTATACTGCCACTCAGAGCATGGGTTATTCCTGCTATGAATTTGACACAAACGTCATTCTGAAATATCATTCCACCCCTTCCCCTCGACACGTTGTATGGCTGTCTATGTTGCCCACTGCATTCTGTATCTTTCCACTTGTTAAAAAGGAAAGTATTTCCAGACAGATAGATGATAAGGTCACATCAAGTCTCTTTTAATCTTTTGTCTTTTAAAAGGGCAATAATGTATTATGTGCAATGTCATTGTGGTGTATCGTGTGCCATGTCATTGAGTTGAAGGACTTAGCTAGCTGGAATATGTCACGACCCAAAATAAGAAAACCAGCTGGCCACAATAACCATGCAAAGCTTTTTTTAGAGCGTCATGCCATTCATGCTGTAAAAGTGCATATCCATAGTTCATCTATAGTGTGCTTGATCTGCTACACATTGATCTTTGGTTCTGCTCATCTTTTCTTGTCCACAGATGATGCTTTCATCAACCCTCAGCTCGCAAAGATCTTTGACCGTGTTCGACAGAGTGCCGACTTCATGCCCACCAAGCAAATGATGGTATAGCCTCAAATGTGAGAGTTGAAAACACAAACCGCTTTTACATCTTAAAGTCAGTGTCGGGCATAATGAGTTACGTAATAAGATTATGTTTTTCAAGTAATACGTAACAGATTACTTTCAAATTCACAACAACATATCTGAGTTACTTTTAAAACGCTCTTTTTTACTTTTACTTTTTTACTTTTAAAACACTCTCCGTCCACACTATTAAATTATTCAATTTCTGTTCCTTCTGTCAGACCTACCTGATAAACCTGAAAAGCACTGTTTACTTTATTTGTATCTTTGTTATCTTATTTGTGCTTTTTGCTTGTAATATGATCATTTGTTCTTATTTTATTACTGACTGTTGTCTTTAATAATGGTTTAAATTTATATATGGCTTGTAGTTTTAGCTGTGGAATCGAAATTGAAATAGAGATTTCAGAATTTTCACTGGTATCTAAAATTTTGGTGTTGTTACTGTTTTTCATTTCATGGCCGGTAAAAAATATTTATGTCCACCGGCAAAATGTTAGTTTTAGACCCGGAAAAAATAGCTCAGTGAGATGATACAGAGAGACTAGACATAATAAAGTTCTCACTTTCTTTTGGCACAATCATTTTATTAGCTTATGTTTATCTTTGGGACAGAAAACGGTGGTCAGTGATCTGGGTCCAAACTGGCAGGATCATCTAGAGTACTTTGAGGAGCGTCCGTTCGCAGCGGCCTCCATCGGTCAGGTTCACCTGGCCAGAATGAAGGACGGCAGAGAAGTGGCCATGAAAATCCAGGTTTGAGAGCTGCTTTTGTTTCGTAGTGTTTCACATGTATGTGCTTTGTGCTGCTAGCTCTAGGCATTCATTAATTGAACATTATTATGTGCTGTCAGTATCCAGGAGTGGCCAAAAGTATAAACAGCGACGTGAACAACCTAATGACACTCCTCAGTATCAGCAATGCTTTACCTGAAGGTATGAATTATGTTGTGTCACAATGCTTTTGATTTCCGTTCTACTGTAACCGTGTCTGTCGTTCTGTTTGCTTGAAGGTTTGTTTCCTGAGCATCTCATAGAGGTCATGAGCAGAGAATTGGCTTTGGAGTGCGATTATGTACGGGAAGCCAAATGTGCCAAGAAATTCCAGTGAGTATTTGAATAACTAGATCCAAAATGTGGACCATATCTTAGCATGGTTCATTTGATATTTAAATGAGACTCAAATGAGATTTTATACTTAAAGGTTAGGCTGTAAATTTAGTATAATTTAATTTTTTTAAATTTAAAATAATACTTTTTTTTTTCAGTTTTCATTTTAAGTTTGTCCTTGTCATTTTTTTATTTCTATTTAGCTTCATTTTCATTTTATTATAGTTTTCATCATTTTAGTATTTTAACTTAAATTTAATTTATTCTTGTTTCAACATTTCTAATATGTTTTATAAATGTAATTAACAAAAACTGTTTATAATATATTTAGTTCCCTTTCGTAGTCACTCCGAGTTACGTCGAATGACGGAGAATGGGGGTTTCGCATAGAAAGCCAATTCTCTTCGAGTATTAAAAAACGAGCCAATGGCATGAAAATGCCATGGGTCTGCGGAATTTGCATAGCGTATCTCTGCCCCACCTCGTGGGTATAAAAGGAGGAAGTGAACGCAACCGCAGTATGTTTTCGCTTCGGAGCCAAGAGAACTTCTTCACTCCAAAAGCCACACAATCTGAGTTTACTACTGTGATTCACCTCTTCGAGACGAGCAAACTCTCTGGTGTTGGTGTGACGGCGGTATCCAGCGAGTTTCACATTGCCTGCGATCTGAGCAGTGGTCTGCCAGTGTGTGTGTCTCTCCCTGGTCGCTTCAACATCCGTGGAGTTTTCTCCTCTCATTGAAAGAGTGTGCACACGGTACGTCTTTTTAAAGACGCGTCTTTTTAAAGACGATCTGCCCGTGTATTCCTGAGTGCGATATTCTGATGAGTCAGCTGATGGGTTTGGGCTTTGATCACGCTCAGACAGCGCTCATGGGTGTGTCACGTTCACTCAGTGGGAACGTGGCCATCGCAATGTATAGTGATCTAGGACGTCAGGTCTGGAACTAAACCGACGAAAATTCCTCGGTCCACACCCCGTCTTTCACGTTGCAACCCACGTGGTCCCGAGTGAGGTCGCGGCTGCCAAAAAATAAATAAATTAATAAATAAAAAATTTTAAATAAAAGGGCCCGCGTTCTCATTCGGTCCCCCAGTTGATGAAATCATGTTTATCGCCGCATCACAAGGTGAGCTGTAGTTCTCTGGAGTTGGCTCGTCTGTGCTGCTGTCCTTGGATGTGCTGGCATAGCGAGTGTTGGGTTTGTGTGGAAAATTCTGCAATGTCCCGAGCACTTTAGGCTGATGATTGGTTTTTGGTGGTGGCGAACCCAAATCCTTTCTACCTGGATGTGCATGAAGAGGCCATGAGATCGTGGAAGTCTCTTTGACTTTAGCGACTGCTCAGCGGCCTCTTCCGCCTTCTCTGCCCTCGTAGAGGCCGCAGTCTAGGGTACACTGGGGTTCCCCCCTGTGGAGTGTTCTGTGGCAACACTTCTGTGTCCCCGCAGCGCCTCCACCTGGCGTGGCAACCCTGAGCACCCCCCCAATGCCGTAGGTTCTTGTCCAGGCTGCCACCTCACTGTGTGTTATTGCCATCCTTTGGGGTGTGCAGTAACATGCACGAGGGTAGGGCTGATTCAGGGCTCATCCTTGAGCTGCCTGCCGTCACCGACTTTGCTCTACGAGCGACGAAGATGACCGCATGCTCCCTGAGTCAGGTGATGTCCACATGCGTGGTCAGACATTTCTGGCTTAACCTGGTTGATGTGCGCAAAGCTGAGTGAACCAGTTTCCTCAACTTCCCCATATCCCAGGCTGGCCTCTTCGGCGGCGCGGTCGAGAACGCTGCCCAACAGTTCTCGGCCGCCCAGAAGCGGACTGAGGCTTTTGTCTGACCCTGCGGTTTCTGCTACTACTAGCCGCTGGCTCAGATGCTTCAGTCCGCTTGCCGCCGAATGCCCCCTCCTCCGACTTCCGCCCCCTCCAGTCCGGCCCCAGCACCACCCTGCCGTGGAGGTGGTCGCAGGGAGGCGCCCCTGCCCGTACCAGCCGCGCTGCGTCGCTCCCATTACGGGCAGCTCAGGTATGGCTTGCAGTTCTTCAGGGAGTGGTCGCAGGCTTGGCGATAGAGGGGGATTGGAGTAGCATGGTCCAGAGACGACACACACTCCCTTCCGCACCCTCAGAGCCGTATTTCATGAAGCAGTTGAAGGTAAGTCTTTGGGGAAGCACGACCTGATCATCAGGTTCCTGAGGGGAGCGAGGAGACTGAATCCTCCTCGCCCTCCTCTCGTACCCTTGGGACCTCCTGGTTTTAAGTGCCCTCCAGAGGCCTCCCTTTGAGCCTCTGCAATCAGTTGAGATTAAGTTCCTGTCAATGAAGACAGCGCTCCTGGTTGCACTGGCCTCCATCAAGAGGGTAGGGGACCTGCACGCATTCTCCCTTGACGAAGCGTGCCTGGAATTCGGGCCGGCTTACTCTCACGTGATCCTGAGACCCCGGCCCGGATATGTGCCCAAGGTTCCTACACTCCCTTCCGGGACCAGGTGGTGAACCTGCAAGCGCTGCCCCTGGAGGAGGCAGACTCAGCCTTGGAAATGCTCTGTCCAGTACGCGCCCTCTGGGCTTACGTAGACAGAACGCGGTGTTTTAGGACCTCAGACCAGCTCTTTGTCTGTTATGGTGGGAGCCAGAAGGGAAGGGCTCTCTCAAAGCGGCGGCTGTCTCACTGGATAGTGGACACCATTCCTTTGGCTGACCAGCAGCAAGGTCGACCGTGCCCCCTTGGTGTGACGGCCCACTCCACCCGGAGTGTGGCTTCCTCTTGGGCTCTAGCGCATGGCACCTCGCTAGCAGACATCTGCAGAGCTGCAGGCTGGGCGACACCTAATAGATTCGCGAGATTCTATAATCTCCGAGTGGAGCCTGTGTCCTCTCTTGCACTCGCTCAACCGGCCAGTACTGGACCCGCTCAGGTGTCTTCGCTTGCTTGCCATTCCACTCCACGGACTGGATAAGTGCGATATTTCCTCAGCTGAGCCTTCAGTTGAAGCCCTGAGTCCTCCAGCACTGTTAATGCTGGCGCCAGTGTCTGTTGCCTGGGCGTCGGCTAGGTGCCTCCGTGTGCATGGTTCTTGCTAGTAACCTCCACATGTGTGTTCTCCACTGTAAGCCTCTCTGAGCATGTGTCTTCCCTCGGCAAGCCACCTTGCCACCCCTGGAGTTAAGGCTCTAGCCACCCTACGGGTTGGTGACTCCAGTGTTACTCCATATGAAGCCCCCTTGGGCCATATGTGTATTCTTAAGTCCTCCCTATGGGTAGGCATTACTGGGGCATATTCCTCTGGGATATGCTCCCCAGTGTACCTTGGTATTCCTGTGCTAAGTAGGACTCCCCATCCATGCTGAGTTCACGACAGGGGATCAGACCCCCATTCTCCGTCATCCGACGTAACTCGGAGTGACTACGAAAGGGAATGTCTCGGTTATGTATGTAACCCTCGTTCCCTGAGTAGGGAACGGAGACGTTACGTCTCCCTGCCACTTCCGCTGTACCGCTGGGTAGACGCCTGAGTTCAGTCTTGGCTCCTCAGCGAAGACATACTGCGGTTGCATCCGCTTCCTCCTTTTATACTCACGAGTTGGGGCAGAGATACGCTATGCAAATTCTGCAGACCCATGGCATTTTCATGCCATTGGCTCGTTTTTTAATACTCGAAGAGGATTGGCTTTCTATGCGAAACCCCCATTCTCCGTCATCCGACGTAACGTCTCTGTTCCCTACTCAGGGAACGAGGGTTACATACATAACCGAGACGTTATTTATAAGAACAACACTTATTCTCAGATGGGAATTACGAACTGTATTTAATTATAGAGCTAGATATCATAAATGAAATTGACTTTTTAGATTATAAATAATACCAATGTGTAAGATTAGTATAAAAATATGCAAATGCATCATTTTAGATTTAGTGTTTCTGGGACATTCTGTAATATATTGTTTATGTACAGTACAGTATTTCTTCTGTGGCACAGGTGTAACATTCTGTGTGTGTTAATATCATTACAGGGAGTTACTGAAGGGCCATCCTTATTTCTATGTGCCAAATGTTGTGGACGAACTGAGCAGCCAGCACGTCCTCACCACGGAGCTGGTGTCTGGTTTCCCTTTGGATAAAGCCGAAGATCTCCCCCAGGAACTCAAGAACGAGGTGAAGCCTGCCACATGTTTGCAGACTGATGTAGTCTTTAAAAAGGTCTTTTTGTAGTCCTAACCATTTAAAATGTTCATATCTGCTCTTTGTCAGATCTGTGAGCAGATTCTGACTCTGTGTTTGCGTGAACTCTTTGAGTTTCGATACATGCAGACGGATCCCAACTGGTCCAATTTCTTCTTTGACCCACAAACACACAAGGTATTTCTCTGTTTTCATTGTATATCTGGAATCATCTAATCTGAATTGTTTTAATTGCAATTAATGTTGTCTGTAATTTATATGCAGGTTGCTCTGTTAGACTTTGGAGCCACTAGAGGTTTTGATGCGAGCTTCACTGACGTCTATATTGAGGTAACACTATAAACTTTACATTCTGCATAATTTTTTTAAGATTGTTTCATATTTAAATGTGTGTCAATTCTTGAATTATTTCTTGATCAGATTATCAAGGCTGCTGCGGACAGGAACAGAGAGGGAGTTTTAAGACGGTCGATTGATATGAACTTTCTGACCGGATATGAGTCAAAGGTACTGTAATTCAGTCCTAAGAGCCCACAGACCTAAAAATAACTCTACCCAAAAACTCTATGATGGTTTTGATGCATCATATCCTGTTTGGCCATGCCCACAAACATTTTGTAGCTTGTTTGAGAGAAACCATTTGCATAGTAAACAGTGAACGTTCATGGCTGAAGACACATCTTTTACTAACACTTTCTGTTCTCTTCTACTCTTTATCTAGTTTAAAAATTAAAAAATGATATACTGAATTAGACCAAACTGGGAAGCGTCAAAGCACTTACACATTGTTGTCCTATTGTTGGTTTTACTGCTTCTATTGCTCTCCTCATTTGTAAGTCGCTTTGGATAAAAGCGTCTGTTAAATGTAAATGTAAAGTGGGAATGAAGTTGACCCCATATTTACTAAATTATAATTCACAGGAACTTTACATAATTACACAACAAAGTAGTAAAATATTGTATTAATTGAAATCAATTGTTATTTTTAAATTATCATTATTTGAATTATTAAATTATTAAAATAAGCACCAAGTTCAGTAATGAAACTCTTCCATGCAGCTGATTGGCTGTCTTGTCGCTTGTTCTGGAGACAATAAATCGCTTCTTCCTGACTATGCACTCAAGTTTATTTTTCCCGACTTGATGGAGCTCAGTTCTGCCCCCCTCCTCCCCAGCACCACCTGTCTACAAGTCCCTCTGTATTCAATAATTTTCTTCCTAAGAATTGTGAATGTTTCGGTTGCTTTTTCAGAGTCAGACAGCTGCCTTCTAACAATCATCAGAAACACTTTGAACAACTCGTCAGTGGAGAAAGGCATATAGTTCATCATAACATCGTAATATATACAATTCACCCACTATATGCACATGATTTTTCATATCAACAGAAAAATATACTAGGATAACCTGGCTTCTCTTGAGACTCCCTGCTTCAGAGCGGTCATTATTAAAGGAGTAGTTCACTTTTAAAAAAACTTGCTGATAATTTACTCACTCAGTCGAAAAGAAATTAAGGTTTTTGATGAAAACATTCCAGGATTTTTCTCCATAAAATGGAATTCAATGGGAACCAAATGGTTCAAGGTGCAAAAGACAGTTTCAGTACAAACTGCAAACTGTTCAAAGGGCTTTAAACGATTCCAGACGATGAATGGGCTATATGCACGCATAAGTTCCGCATTTGACGCAAGGATGCTCGTCCATTTCCGGTTGACTCGAAGGGTCCTAGATAAGGGTCCTAGATAAGACCCTTATTCATCGTCTGGTATTTCGAGATCACCCAAAATGTCTGGGATTCGGCTTTTGCGTTCTACAGTCTCCATTCATCATGTTTACTTTGGCGAGCAGGACAAGTGAGGGCCGTGTGGAGAATGACGCGAGGCCGGTGGTGTGATTACCGATGAGAGACACTTGTGAGACGCACTGGTCTTGTATCTCTCAAGGAGGAGCGGGAATTTTCTTAGCAATGTTAAAACGCAGATCTGCCGAACACTTGTTTAGCGTTCATGTAAACACTACATTCAGATTCACCAAATGAAATGAATTCAGTTAAAGGGTTAGTTCACCCAAAATGAAAATTAAGTCATTAATTACTCACCCCCATGCTGTACCAACCCCGTAAGACCTTCGTTCATCTTCGGAACACAAATGAAGATATTTTTGATTAAATTTGAGAGCTGGGTTACTCCTCCATAGACTGCCTAAGGGACTGCCTCTTGACGGCCCATAAAGTCATTAAAGAAACTGTTTAAATATTCCATGTGCCTACAGCGGCTCAATTATACGTTTATCAAGCGACGAGAATACTTTTTGTGCGAAAAAAACATAAATAACGACTTTATTCGACTATTCCATTACTTCCTTATGGGCGCATGTGCGAGAACTGAGATGACGACGTTCTTCTTTGACTACTTCTTGTTACCGGCTGCTCACCACTTAGGAGTATTACCGCCACCTACCGTATAAAATGTGGCGGTAATACTCCTAAATATCTTCATTTGTGTTCCGAAGATGAACGAAGGTCTTACGGGGTTGGTACACAGCATGGGGGAGAGTAATTAATGACTTCATTTTACTTTTTGGGTGAACTAACCCTTTAAAGCTGTGCATGTAAAGTATGAATGGCGACTGCAGGAACCAAAAGCTGAACCCTGGACATTTTGTACGATCTCGACGGCCGAACATGTCCAGGCAAAAGAGGATGAATGATACTCTGGTTACTCAGCTTTCTCCATTGAACAAGAACCTGCTAGCTTAGCTTCCAAAAAAAGATGGCTGACACTATGTGTTCATTCTGTGAGTGAGATCCCACCTTCTATGGGCGGGTTGAAAACATGCGGACAGCCCAACTACTGGCTGTAGTCTTTAGCCTCTGCCCAAAAAAATGACGCAAAATGACGATTCAGTTCTGAATGGCACACAACCTTGAGTGCAATTTCACTTCTCTCTTTTCAACATTTCAGGCGATGAAGGACGCCCATGTGGATGCAGTGATGATCCTCGGGGAAGCATTCGCATCAGACGAGTCGTTTGACTTCGGTTCCCAGAGCACTACGGAGCGGATCCACAGTCTGATTCCTGTGATGCTGAAGGAGCGTCTGACTCCTCCGCCGGAGGAAACCTACTCTCTGCACCGCAAGATGGGCGGCTCCTTCCTCATCTGCTCCCGCTTGAAGGCCAAGATCAGCTGCAAGAACATGTTCCACGAGGCCTACGCTAAATACTGGACAGATCGGCATAAGGAAACTGCCAAATGAACCAGTGGGCATATCAATTTGTGTGTACCAGACAAAAATGGATTTGAAAAGAATTAAATGCATTATGCTAGAACGATGAATATGCACTTTATTTGGCTTCATGCTTAACTCTATCTTTACAACAGTAAATGGGGGGTCTTTGGCTGTGGATTATACTTGAATTATATAAGTGAAGATGTATATTTATGAACCAGATGAAAACTTGTTGTTTTGAGATGTGTGGTTTGTACGGAGGCGTATTGCATTCACTTGAAGAAAAAAAAATCTACTCTGTTTTTCTGAATTAACGAGTTAATTTTTCATGAGAAAAAAAATTTGCTCTGTTTTTCTGAATTAATGAGTTAATTTTTCATGAGAAAAAAAATGTTTTCTCTGTTTTTCTGAATTAATGAGTTAATTTTTCATGAGAATTTTTTTTTTTTGCTCTGTTTTTCTTAATTAATGAGTTGATTTTTCATGAGAATTTTTTTTTGCTCTGTTTTTCTGAATTAATGAGTTAATTTTTCATGGATTGTTTTTTGCTCTGTTTTTCTGAATCAACGAGTTAATTCAGAAAAAACAGCAAAAACTTTTTTTCTCACGAAAAATTAACTCATTAATTCAGAAAAACAGAGAAAAAAATATTTTCTCATGAAAAATTAACTCATTAATTCAGAAAAACCGAGAAAAACTTTTTTTCTCATGAAAAATTAACTCATTAATTCAGAAAAACAGAGCAAAAAAAATTTTTCTCATGAAAAATTAACTCATTAATTCAGAAAAACAGAGCAATTTTTTTTCTCATGAAAAATTAACTCATTAATTTAGAAAAACAGAGTAGATTTTTTTTCTTCAAGTGAATGCAATACGCCTCCGTAGTTTTGCATTTCAATTTTGAGTAAAATATACATTTGAATTCACAGAACCAAATATGACCTAAATCGTCAAGACGACATCAGCCAAAATCTGTCATTGTTTGAACTCATTTACTGATCGCTCAAGTAGTTCTTAAGCTTCTAAAGTTCCTCTTTTCATTTCTTTTACAGTCTGCATGTTCTAAACACACATGGGTTTTACTTTCTTGCATGGAAAACAAAAGGATAAGAGGCTTATGCTGGTTTTGAAACAGTTATTTTCATTCAAATTCTCACCACATTGTTTGATAAACAAAATGTTGGCAAACATGTCACAGTTTGTGTCTAAAAAAAGCATGTTCTCAGATAAAGCTTCTTTACATCTTGCCTTTTGAACACTTCATAATCACAGTACTGTGCACAGTACAGTCCATAACAAAAACGTGTGCCTTAAAAAACTAAAAAGTATATTACACTCAACCTGTGAAATGAGAAGCTAAAATCTTATGTCAGTCAATCGGTTCATGGCACTGTAAGCAAAAAGACTCCGTTTGAACAGTGATATTGCTGAATCCATATTCTAGCTGGAGTACTTTGGTCATGTCCATAAGCACAGTCTGTGGGCTGGTTTGCTCATCTGGAAATTAAATCATTCGTTTGGGTTAAACAACAGACATTTTCAAAGAAGCATTTAAACGTGTACATGTATTACCTATGACCGCGTGAACTGAGAGGTGTGTTTCACTCGCAGTTAAAGACCACATGCGCAGACTGTGTGTTGATTTGACTCCGCCCACTGCCAGCAGAACGTCATTCACAGAGTCAAAGTCAATGCCGTGCGGGGCTCCTTCAGATAAAATATTAAAGTGTTAGTTCACCCAAAACCAACAGGGTTACTCACTCCATGTCGTTCCCAACCCATAAGACTTTAGTTTATCGTCAGTACACAAATGAAGATCATAAAAAGATTATAAATTAAATTTAAAAGCATTTAATTTAGTCCAATTTTCTAAAGGGATTGGATTGCTTTAAATGATGAACAGATTGAATTTAGGCTTTTATTCCCATATAAACTTTGACCGCTGAACATAAACAGAAGCTCAACTTGACGAATGAGAACAGACCTCATTGGTTTTTGAGGAAGCTCAAACGATCACCCAAAACTGAAAATGAAGTCATTAATTACTCACCCCCATGCTGTATCAACCCCGTAAGACCTTCGTTCATCTTCGGAGCACAAATGAAGATATTTTTGATTAAATTTGAGAGCTGGATCACTCCTCCATTGACTGCCTAAGGGATTGAAACTTGACGGCCCAGAAAGTCATTGAAGAAAATGTTTAAATATTCCGTGTGACAACAGTGGCTCAACTATAAGTTTATCAAGCGACGAGAATACTTTTTGTGCGTAAAAAAACAAAAATAACGACTTTATTCGACTATTCCTTTTCTTCCTTGTAGGCCTGAGATGAGAGTTCAAGAGATTTCCACGACGCATGCGCGAGAACTGCGATCTCCTTCTACTCCTTCTAGTTCAGTTCTCGCACATGCTTCGATAAACTTATACTTGAGCCACGGTAGTCACATGGAATATTTAAACATTTTCTTCGATGACTTTCTGGGCCGTCAAGTTTCAATCCCTTAGGGTGCCTATGGGGTAGTGACCCAGCTTTCAAATTTAATCAAAAATATCTTAATTTGTGTTCTGAAGACGAACGAAGGTCTTACGGGGTTGGTACAGCATGGGGGTGAGTAATTAATGACTTAATTTTCATTTTTGGGTGAACTAACCCTTTAACTTAATTGGTTCTCGCATGTCAAGCGAACATGCTTGAGCTTCCATTTACCACAACTAATGTGTGCACTGAAGAATGTTTATGTGTAAATAAAATCCTCAATTCAATCTGTTCATTATTTAAAGCGATCCTGTCATTTCATAAAATTTGGACTAAACCGCCCGATTCATGTGGATTAGTTTTACTACCACTGAATGAAATGTTTGAAGTGTCAAATAGGTAGTTGTGCTGTAAAGTCTTAAAGGTTTGGAATGACACGAAGGTGAGTAAATTATGACGGAATTTTAATTTGTGGGTGAACTAACCATTTAACCATTAGCTTTTGTGTCAACATTTAGGGCATTTACAATCATATACGGATCAACTAATCACTTGCCTTCCATGAGTATTCTGAATATGTCTTTCAGGATGGTGAATGTTGTTCCGAGCACAAGTATTGAAAACAGAAAAGTACAAATTGGATCTGCTATTTTCCATTCAGGCTGTTAGGACAACGAGACAAGAGTTATGGAAGCATTTTAAATTGCATATGCAACTGTAAAACAAAGTATTTGCGCATACTCTCTTAAAAATAAAGGTTCCTCAAGGGGATTTTCAAAACGATTTTTCTTAGTGTGAAGAACATTTTAAAACTCTAACAAGCTATTTTTCACTATAGAAGGGGTGTCCAAACTCACTGTCCAGCAGAGTTTAGCTCCAACTTCCATCAACACACCTGCCTGGAAGTTTAGTATGCTTAGTAAGACTTTTATTAGCTGGTTCTGGTTTGTTTAATTGTGGTTGAAACTAAAGTCTTGCAGGACATGGCCTTCCTGGAGCATTTTGCACTATAATTTATTGGATGTTAAAGGTTCTTCATGGACCCATGCCCATAAAGAATCTTTTTTTGTCTTTGTTATTTTTCATGTTGGGGACATACAACATATATCAGACGCACAACACACAAGCTTCGCAGAGAGAGGCCTCGAACTTGATCCTCATGTTATTGTTGGGTGCGGTAGTCTTGCACGGCCAGACCTTATGACAGACTGCAGAAGGTCTGGGCTCCATAAAGCTTTCATTTGCAAAGGAAACATCTAACTGACAAAGCATCCAATCACAATGTTTAGGTGTGTGAAAATTTAAAGGAGAACTCAAGTGCAAAATGAACCTTTGGTCTAATAAAACATTGGTACCTAGTCAACCGTTCTCTGAGATTTGTTTTCAAGATAATCGAATGTAAAGAGTTTTATCTCTAAAAACTGTTTAAATCTGACTAAATGTCCATAAACGTGAAAGTCTGAGAACTTTTGTATATGCCAGTAATAGTAATGTTACTAACCCTGAAGTAGATGATAGTGGCAGCCAGCAGCACACCTAAACTTTGCAGTAAATCCCCCAGCACATGAATAAAAGCAGCCCTCACGCTGGTGTTTCTGTGCTCTTCCGTGAGGCTGTGAGAATGACCCGAAACACTGAGAGAGCTGTGAGAGTGACGGCCCGGAGACTGATGGAGAATGAAAGCCAAACTGATGGAAACAAACATTAAAACATTGTACAGGAAGATGCCATTTCCCATCATGCATAATAATGAATCTAATGTGGGTCTACAAACTGGCAAGAAAAGTGAGTGGTGCAATGCAACACACAATAGCTGACATCATTCATGATTATCATACTAATATGAGGTGCATGCCAAAGGGTTAGTGTTTTTTTCACTTACCTAACTATGAGCATGAATAGTTGTAATAGTGATGCTTGAGTTAAAAAAACCACCATGAAATCAAATAACATCACTCACAAGATGTTGAGTGCTACAGCACATCCAGCTGTGATCATCATGACGTCACTGTGTATCTCATAATCATCACTGATGATCCTCTGAACAGCAACGAGAACGAGAACCGCCGTCACAGTCCAGATGGACATAACAGACAGAAGAGCTCCTAAAACCTCTGGACAAAACAAATGACAGAAACACTGGCATAGTTGTTAAATGTAATTCCTAAGAAAGGAATAAACGTTAGTGATATCATACAGTGCATCGGGAAAGTATTCACAGCGCAGACTCCTAAAAATTCTACTAACAATACCCCATAATGACAAAGTGAAAGAAGTCAGTTTGAAAATTTGCTAATTTATTAAAAAATTAAAAAAATTAAAAATGAAAAAAAAAAAATCACATGTAGATAAGTATTCACAGCCTTTACCATGACATGTTACCATGTTTCCACTGATCATCCTTGAAACGTTTCTACAACTTTGGAGTCCACCTGTGGTAAATTCAGTTGATTGAACATGATTTGGAAAGGCGTACCTGTCTATATAAAGGTCCCACAGTTAAAGGGTGAGTTCATTCAAAAAATGAAAATTCTGTCAGTATTTACTCCCCCTCATGTTGTTCCAACCCCGAAAGACTTTCGTTCATCTTCGGAACACGAATTAAGATATTTTTTTTATTATTAAATCAGAGCTGGATCACTCCTCCATAGGCTTCTAAAGGGATTGAAACTTGCCGGCCCAGAAAAGTTAAAGACATCAGTAAAAAAGTCACTACTGAGTCACTACAGTGTCTCAATCTTACAGTAAGTTCATCAAGCGACGAGAATACTTTTTGTGTGCAAAAAAAATTAAAAAATAACGACTTTATTCAACTATTCATTTCTGCGGGCCTCGATTGAGTTCACGTAGTGTAACTCCGCAGCGCATCTGTGTTGTACGTCACACGTAGGCTCACAATAGCTTGTTTTCATATGACGTCACGCCCCTGCGTTGCCATGGCGCCTAAATACAAATGGAGGGCAGGAAGTGATTTGCTGTATTTAGAAAGCACTATGACACACCCAAAATGCCTGTGTTTTGAGTCATTTATAGGTACTTGAATCGATCAAACCATAAGAAGTTTTTATCATGTACCAAAAGGGGGGAAAATGCAAGAAATTGATCGAAAAACTCTGGAAAAAACGGCTTGCAAACCTACCCAGATAGCAAACTGACATTGAATCAACGTGGAAACATGACATCGAAACAACGTTGATCTGACATTGTTTTGCTCATCGAATTAATGTTGAACCAACGTCAGACTTCAAAATTAACGGAAAATCAACTTGAAATCAACGTTGTTTCAACGTTAGGAAAGCAAACCAATTTTCGATTTTCATTTAGCTTTGAAGAATGCCGCGTCTGACGTTGGTTCAACGTTAATTCGATGAGCAAAACAATGCCAGATGAACGTTGTTTCGATGTCATGAAAGACGTCGTTTCCATGTTGATTCAATGTCAGTTTGCTGTCTGGGTATGTCTGCGGTCGGGAGGAGTCGAATGGGAAAATGCGTGTGTGTGTGTGTGTGTAACGTTAGTGATCACTTCCTCAAAGGTGAGTTAATACAACTTAAGTGACTGTTTGTGTAACGTTTCCGAACTTTGTAAAGTTAAAGTATGTCTGTAAGACGAGGTAGTTGCTGATATCTACAGCCTCGATGGCAGGAAAATATTTCAATTCAGTTGAAAAAAAAAAAATTCGCTCCTCTTCATAAAGTAAGGATCATGTCCAACATATGTTTGATTTTTTGTTTATTTCTTTCTCTTGTAATAGCGTGTAAGCTCCGTGCCCTCCATCTGAATTCCGCGCTTGATCATAATCACGTGACTGAAACCCAGCTATTGGCTAACGCTGGTCATGTGTCTGATGTGTAACGTACAACACAGAAGTCGTTATTTTTGTTTGTTTTTTGCACACAAAAAGTATAAACTTAACCCTTTCACACGTAAGTTTAAAATATTTCAACTGACCCCCCAGCATGAGTTTTTCAAGGCGACGGATATTTAGAACTTGCCACTTTAATGTTTCCATGGTGACACGTCATTGCTTGTCACGTGACGCAGCACAACTGCAACACAGCACTGAATCAATGATGCTTTTATGTAATTTTTCCTTTTTTATTAAAAATATTCACAAATGTATTAGCTATAGCATGAAACACTGATATTCCAATTGTCAAATATGTGCAAGTGGATGGGTTGTTGTTGTTCAAACATCTTTATAACAATCGCATTAGTTGAGCTGTATGCACAATGGGCGGCGCCATTTTAGTTTGCTTTACTGTTCAGAGAATCGGATCTGTTGGATTTACAACGTCAATTCTTCCACTTCTCACGAAATACATGATAGTAAGTGGCTGGTGAACTGGGAGAAGAATAGGTTCAAATGTTAAGCTACTTACACAATGTGTATCTGATATGAATAAAACGTCGTCTTATTATAATTGAAAGGATTATTATTGCTGCTTCCATAGACAACATAGTGTATTTTACAAACTCAAAATCATTGTTTTGCAAGTACTTATGTGTATTTAAATGTCTGAAATCTAAAATAAATATTATGTGGTTGAAAACACTCAATAGTTGTGCTATATAACAGTACTGAGTGTGTCCGTCTCTGGCTCAGCGCCAGCCAACGCGCGAGAGCAAGTTCGAATTTAGCAGTTGCTGACGTGATGCACTGATCATTCTAATCAAGATTGAGACACTGTAGTCACTTGGACTATTTTAACGATGTCTTTAATAACTTTTCTGGGCCGGCAAGTTTCGATCCCTTAGAAGCCTATGGAGGAGTGATGACAGCTCTCAGATTTCATCAAAAATATCTTAATTTGTGTTCCGAAGATGAACGAAAGTCTTACGGGGTGGGAAAGTGAAATTGGGACAGAAAGAGAAGATGAGGGGAAGGATCCCAAAATAAGATTATTTAACGGAGTGGTACGATTTGAGGGAGAAGGAGGAGTTAAAAGAATTGATCAGCTTAAGTTAACCCAGATAATAAGAGAACAGGTAGGCGAAGTGAAGTATGCAAGAATTTTGGGAGATGGAAATTTACTTGTAGGATGTAATAATGAAGTGCAGATGAAAAAAGCAAAGAAGATGAGTTGCGTTGGAAAAATTGTAATAGTAAAAGTAGTATAATTAGAGTGGGAGAGAAAATAACTGCAGTAAGGGAGTGATATATGGAATTCCACTTACAGTAAATATGAAATATGAGTTTGTGGAGAGCCTGAGAATGCAGAATAGGTTCGTGAGCAGGAAGAATGACAAGGGGAATTGAAAAGTGGAAACATAATCTGTGTTGGTTGAGTCTGAAACAAAGGATGTATTATGGATTTATGAGATACAGCATAAGGGAATATGTACCTAAACCAATTGCCAGGAATTTTGGCACATGGCTAATAAAGAAAAGATAAGGTGTGCTAGGTGCAGTGGGGATCCTGAGTATGGAAAGTGTGGGGAGGAAGTAAGGCCACAGTGTTGTCATTGTGGAGGGAATCATAGTGTGGCCTTTTGGGGATGTAAAGTGATGAGAAAGGAAGTTAAAGTACAACAGATAAAAACAAAAGAATTAAATTCTAATGTTGAGGCTGTTAAGAGAACTGAACAGGAAAAGGAAAATCAGAGCAGAGAAAATATAAAAAGGTTGGCAAGGGAAGAAAACAACAAGAAAAGAATGAAAAATGGGAGGAGAAGAAGAAACTAGTGATATTCATAGAGGGGCGATAAATACTATGGTTAAAATCAGGTCTAAAACTGAAAGAATTCAGATTATTATTATTAAAGTAGCAATATGACATTAAAGTGGGAAGAAGTGAAGGATGAACTCAGTGTACAGACGAGTCCAGAGACGACATGTGTGGATGGATTAATCATTTTAATAATGATAATCCTTAAATGGAATGCAAGAAGCTTGATCTTTAAGAAGCTTGAAGACTTTAAGCAAGTCGAAGAGAAAACCCAGATGTTATATGCATTCAGAAATCCTGGTTAAAGCCTAATTTGGACTTTATCATTTATGGACATTTATCGGTTAGACAAGATAGGGAAAAAAGGTGGTGGAGGGGGATGTGTCACATTTGTAAGGCGTAGAATATGTAGTAGTAGAAACATTGGGTGAAAGGAAAAAAAATGTTGTTATAAATTATTACAATCTGTGTAGGAAATTAGACATAATGAACTTAGGAAATAGAGGGGTGTAAGACAGAACTAATATTGTATGGTTTAGGGATTTCAATGTGCATAATGCATTGTGGGGTAGTGAGAAAATGGATGGTAATGGCCAAGTAATAGACGAGTTATTGGATGAGAAAAACTTAGTATGTTTAAATGATGGAAGTAAAACAAGGATAGAGGTTAGTACTGGGAAGGAATCTGCACTTGACCTCACACTGGTTTCCAGTAGTATGGTAGCGAAACAGTATGTAATTGGAGTGTCTATAAAAACAGAACTGTAGGAAGTGATCATTATCCATTGTGTAAAATCAATATTTCTTTAACTCAAAGTACAGAAGGAAGAGGAAGAAGATGGTTATTTGAGAAGGCTGATAAAAAAGTGAAAAAGTGACAGATGTCTGAGTCAGATTGATTATAATGATGATATAGAAACACTGGAAAATAAAATAAAGCAAGATATAATAACAGCAGCAATAGAGTCCATGGTGGGATGAAGAATGTAAAAAAGCAGTCAGAAATAAGAACAAAGCATTTAAAATAATGAAAAGAACTCATAATTTCATGCACATGATAAGTATGCTCAGGCAATAGTAAGGAAAACAGTAAGACGGGCAAAAAGAACATGTTTGGGAATTACTGTACAATTGGGAATACAACTCAGATCGGAGAGGTGTGGATAATGATTAAAAAGATGAGTGCGGAAAGGAGAGAATGGAGATACCCTGTTCCGAGTAGTGGAAATGAAATTGCAGTGTTGAATAAGGAAAAGGCTGAAATGTTAGTCACTGTGCACAGTTCTAATAATTTATCTGAAGAAGGGAAGAGAGGCTATTGAGGATGTTGAAGATGAACAAAAACTTAACATGGGAGAGTTAAATAGAGCAATGGGCAAAACTGGGAAGGCTGCATCAGGAAAAGATTCAATTTGTTATAATGTTGAAACAGTTAAGTGAAGAGGGAAGAAAAAATTGTTGATGCTGTACATTAAAGTGTAG